CGGGGCAGGCGGCAGGCAGGGATCGAACTCATGCGGAAGTGGCTTCAGCTTCTCAGTGCTGTGCTTTAACCCGCTGCGCCACCAGGGAGGGCCGCAGCTTGCTTTTAATAAGGGACAAAGAAAAGGCTCACACCTGAATCACACTGACAGTTCTTTCTGTATGTATTTGTTTTTCCTCCTATGTAAAATCCTATGAAATAATTAAGAACTTTATGTGATGAATTAATATACTTCATTTATTTTTTATGATTAAAATTCTTGATTCTTCAGTAAATAGCTATCCAGTGAAATGTGACCATTTGGAGTACTTCATAAAGATGTGGTAATTGTTCTTTCAGGAGAACATGAGTTCGTATTATATATTTTACTATTTGGCATGACAGCTGTCACTTTGAAGGAAGTGAGTGTTTTTATCCTAACTGAACCAAATGTCATAGATGACTAAGCTTCCTAAGATGCAAATAGTTGGCTTTAAAAAACTGCTCCAAAACAGATGAAACGGTCAGCATAAATTAATATACTGGTAGTAACTGATATTTATTTGGTATCTTATACATTCAAGTGTATGTTTTGTTTCTGTTGGTGCCTGACCGAGGGGTTCCCAGGGATCCCAAACTATTAAGGGATGCATGCTGCAAAAGAGGTTCTGTCATCTACCATACACAATCATATTTTTTTTTTGTAAAGAGGTCCTTAATTTAATTTAATTTATAATATAATAGTTTATTTTTACATCATTTTGTACATTTTTTTTCATCTCAGTTGTAATCCCCGTGGGTTTCCCATCACCAAGTCACCCATGTGCCATCACCGTAGTCCCGCACACTTCCCTCCCCCCCGTTTTTGATCCCATTCCCCACTCCACCCCCCACAAAATGTCTCTGGTATATGGCTGCTCATTATTCTTATTATTTCCTTGCCTGGTCCATTATACTCCTGCTATGAGTGAAACCATCGAGTATTTTTCTTTTTCTTTCTGGCTTCTCTCACTAAGCATGATCTTTTCCAGCTCCATCCATGTTGCTGCAAAAGACATGTGTTTCTTCTTTTTGGTTGCTGAGTATTATTCTATGTGTATATGTACCACATCTTCATCTACTTTTGGGCATTTGGGCTGCTTCCATGTTTTTCCAATTGTAAATAAAGCAGCAATAAACATGGGGGTGCAGGTATCTTTTTGAATCAGTGTTTTTGTATCCTTTGGGTAGATACCTAGGAGTGGGATTGCTGGGTTGTAGGGAAGCTCCATGTTTAGCAGTTTGAGGATCCTCCAAACAGTTTTGTATAGTTTGGTTGTACTAGTTTGCATTCCCACCAGCAGTGCAGAAGAGTTCCTTTTTCTCCACATCCTCGCCAACATTGTTGTTGCTAGTTGTTTGAAGATGTGCCATTCTCACTGGGGTGAGGTGGTATCTCATTGTGGATTTAATTTGCATCTCCCTTATTATGAGTGATGCACAGTCATATTTTTTTTAAAGATTTATTTATTTATGCATACAGACCTGGGGCACAGGCCAGAGGTGCAGGGGTGGCTGAGAGGGTTCACCAGAGACAAAGTGGGGAGCAGAATAGGCTTATAATAATTATACATCCTTAGTGTTATGTTCTATCATATGGGATGGTGTTTAAAAGCTACAGTGACTCTTGTGTGAGAAGGTTCTTATTAAGGGAAGTGTAAAGACAAAGAGGACCTTATCTCAGCCCTTCCTGGGAAAATATGTTTGGATATTTGTTGAGAGGGTGCCTTGGGTTTAAAAAGGCGTTGACTTAACAAAAACTAGGATGTGCCTCGTAGAAAAACCTTTTCTTGGTGATGGTTGGTTAACTTCAAAGAGCAAAGCAAAAGAAGCTAGGACATTAGAAAGATGTTGGTGAAGCACTACAGAAACATGCAATTTGGGTTACAGCTTGAAAAAATATAAAAACAAAAACAAAAAAACCCTGGGCTCTCCCTAGTGGCACAATGGGTTAAACAGCAGCATTGCAAGCTAGCCAATGCTGTTTCACTGCGAGTTCGATCCCCAGCCTCAGAGGCGACTACATGGCACAGCAGATCTCTCCTGACCCACCTGCTGCTCCTCTCAGCAGTGTATTTCATTAGTCGGCCTGTTCTGCTCCCCACTCTGGTGAATCCTCTCACTGCCCCTGCAACTTTGACCTGTACCCCAGCTCTGTATGCATAAATAAATCTTTTAAAAAATACAAAAAACCTGACACCACATTGGAACTGCTGAAATTGCAATATTTTGAAATAACCACCAGTCATTTCTTTATGTTTCAGTACAGATGACAGTCTCAAAAATTCCATGTTCAAATCTCTAATTTGCCTCAAATTTTTCCATTTGGTTGGGTGCTAAGTCGAAATTCAGCTTAATATTTTTCTAAAAGCTTAGTTGTTCTAACTCCATTTCCTGAGTTATTCACTGTGACTTAAGTGTCACTGACACTAGATATTGACCTCCACCTCTTTACTTCTGAAAAACATGGAAACAAAACAAAAACTTCACACCTTGGCTGAGAAGGAGGGCAAAGTATAAAAGGGTGGTCCCTAGGAAAAGGGGGAAGTTCCAGTTTCCCTGCCCTTTCCAGAAGGAGGGTGGAGCTGAGGAGAGTAAAGGATAAAAAGGGAAGGAATCTAAGGGAGAAGGAAGCAGGATGGAGAGCCAGGAGACCTGAGGAAGCCACATGGTGCAAAGGGAGACGTGTGAAGAAACCGTGTTTATTTCTTGGCCCTGGACTGGTTGAAAACAGATGTGGTTGAGCGAGCTGTGGGGAAGTTGACTATGGCAGTGTTTATATTGATTTTGATTTTGCTCTTTTCCTCCCAGACTTGTCTGGCCAGTTCTGACCCATTTGTTTGGTCCCAGCCAGGAGGTGCTTTATTTAATCTTATGGAAGGCTTTCAGGCCTTGCTTTGGGCCAATCCCTTTTGGATTGACTTTTGCTCACGAGGGGATGGGCAACTTCAGGTGTTTGATTTAGAAATTATATTCTTTGTCTTCTGTATTGTATACTCACTGTATTAAAGTCCCTTTTCATTAAAGTCTTATATGTTTTGTCTTGATGTGGCGGATGGCAGAACCTATTTAGGGCAGGCAGGTTTGGGGGTTCAGTGGTGCCCCTCTCTCCCTGCCCTGTAACAGACTGACGCAACCTGGACTAATAAGCAATTTTCTACCTAAAATTAGAGCAGTGAGCTCTTTCTTTCTTTAAGATTTATTTATGTATGCATACAATGGCTGGGGTTTAGGACACAGGGGTGTGTTTGTGTGTGTGTGTGTGTGTGTGGTGTGGTAGGGTGAGAGGGTGGCATGTGTGTGTGAGAGCATTCACCACAGAGTGCGGAGCAGAACAGGTGGATTGACTAAAATACACCGCTGAGGGGAGCAGCAGCTGAGACAGGCCTGCTGAGCCATTTGGGTCACCTCCCTGGCCAGGTATCAAACTTTTGCTGCAGTGGTGGGGATAGCTTGACAGTGCTGAGACAACCCGCTGTGCCACCAGGAGGCCTTGTTCCTTCTTTTGAGCAAATTTGCTCACAATATCCTCCGTCTCTCTGGCTGCTGAGGTTTTGCCTTCACACTAGCGTTTATTACCCTATTACCAAATAGCGTTTGTTCTTCCTCTTCAGGAAATAGTCATTTGTCCTTCAGCAAGAAGGAATCTAATTTTATGACTGGGACTTTTGTCCTCTTCTAGAAAACAACAATCAGTATAGTTCATTTGGTAGTATTCATTTTTCACAGAAGTTCCTACTTTGTGCAATGAACCTTGGTGGGTGCTGGGTAGCCCAAAAATGATAATAGAGGACTTGGCTCTCTAGGAGATCACAAACTAACAGTATTAAAAAAAAAGGACATGGATATTATAAACACCTTGTTTTGTGGTTAATGTAGTTGGGGGTGGGGGAAGGTACAGGACAGGGAAGAAAAGCAACAATAGTCCACATGTGCCTGGCATTTATTCAGAATAGTATGCAGAAAGTAATACCCCCTTGAAAGAAATGCTTTATAATATAAAAAAATTAGTGAAGCTATAAAAATATTCTTAATACTATGTAATTTTATAGATATACATATAGGTCTACATTTTTATTTCTATTTTTCATGCCCATGGCATAAATGAGAGGCTTATAAAACCATAGGTCAGAAACTCTTATATGCGGTATAGACGAGGAAACATTGGGACAATTTCATAGAGGAGACTGTTATTTGAGCATTTGCCACATACTTCAAGTATAGAACACATTTTAGATATTTTCCCATGCATTGAGAAGAGTTAAGAAAAAGAAGGCTGGAAAGCTCTACAGTAAGATCTAGGGATTTCAAATAGTCTAGAGGTATATGCAAATAAGAGAATACTGAAAGTGAATAAGAAGTGACAAAGAGAATAATGAAACACCTGCGTAGTAAGGTAAGATGAAGCTATGTTAAAGACTTGGATTTCATTTCATAGTGAATAGTATAGATTTTGAGGAGAGAAAACATATGTAAGCATTGAGGAAAATGGATTATTAGTGGGAAAGTTACTGTAATTACAGGTGAGTTGTATATCCAAGCATTATACATAGTTCTTGTGTATAAATTAAAAAGTTTTTTTTTCACCTTAAATTACAGGGAATCTTTAATAAAACATATATATAATAAATTCATATTTGAGAATGTTCATCAGATAACTTCATGCCTATTCCATAGAAGAGACCTCAACACCAGGGAAATCAGTAGGTAATCTCAATAACTCTTCTACTTCTTCTTGCAAAGCTTCTGCTTTTTCATGTAACAGCATCTACAATAAAAAAAATCAAGACATGAGGTCAAAATATGCATTGCTACAGAATTACTAACATTTTTACAACCATCCATTAGACACCTGAATCCTTACACATTAGCAATCCAGACATTAAAACTAATAAGATTGAGAAATGGTCACTTAAGAACAAGTGGTTACAGTAAATGACGCTAAGGCATTTAGTTGAAGTCATTTTAGCTGACCACTGCATTTAGTGTACCAAAAATAAAGGAGCTTTAATAGTCCCAAAGATTTGTATTATTGATGACTCAGCTATTAAAAATTAACTTTTAATCTATAAAATCTAAGACAATTTTGCAAAAATTTAATTAGCTCTTGAAAATTTTATCTGTTATATATGCATTTTATTATTCCTAGAAGTTTAGTCTGATCTTTTAGAATCCTATCAGTGCTTCAAAGAAAAATTTTATTCACGTTCTTAAAATTAATATGATTAATTTCAAATGGCACACAGAAGATGTAAAAGAATATTTTTTGAGCAATGACTTTCTATTTCTAAAAATCAGAACTAAAATGATGGTATTTGTTGCAGCTGGATTATATATCTATTAGGTGAAATATGTCTACTTCTGTTACAAAATTTTAATAATGAAAGTTTAGCAAAATTAGAGGAAAATGTCAAATGAACAAAGTAAACCCCCCAATCTATCAATATGATATAAAGCATAATATTATATGGTATTACATATAAATTAAAATATAGTATTAAATAGATTAAAATGTAATTAGGTAAGTTTTTCAGTAATGGTGAGCATGTAAAATGAATCTCCCAGCACACCTTCCAAAAACCGTACAGATAAACAAGAACAAGTAAACCACAAAAAACTCATGTCTTATCATTACTTGAATATAGAGTACACCATCAACCTGAAGGCATTTCTAAGACTCCCCAAATGCTTTTCAGAAATAAACTACATCAGAAAGAAGAGGAGAAAAGAAGTTCACCTCTAAAGAGAGAAACTTTACTCTTACCCAAAGAACAAAAACACTGAGAAAATAATTTTGGTATGTTAAAGATGTTTATAGGAAGAGAGTTAAAATGAATGGAACTCTAGAAAACAAGTCTTGGAAAGGCAGTATTTCCAAGGAAGAATATGGGTAAAAAAGAGAGAGGTATCCTTTGGAAGGTCAGAAGTAAGGGAAAAATATGCAAGAAAACAACTTTTAGAATACTAGAGGGCAAAGAAAAACCTAAAATCAAAGTACACAATTTCTTCTTGCATTCTACTCCTACCCCAAGCTTTCTATTAAAGAATCTATAGTTTACTACACTGACAGAAGATAGGCTCTTGAACTAGTATCCTCATAAATCAATATGAATTGCTACCCAGTCCAAGAAAAGCAGAGGCATACACAGTTCTCAACTATACAAATGTACTATAGAAAAGTAAAACAGAGGGCCCTCCCTGGTGGAGCAGTGGGGGAAAGCACAGCACTAAGAAGCTAAAGCCACTTCAGCATGAATTTGATCCCCATTCTGGAGTTAATACACATGGAGCGGCAGACCTCTCCTGACCAACCCACTGCTCCCCTCAGCAGTGTACTTCATCGATCTGCCTGTTCTGCTCCCCACTCTGTCTCTGGTGAAGCTTCTCACCGCCCCTGCACCTCTGGCCTGTATCCCAGTTCTGTATGCATAAATAAATAAATCTTAAAAAAAAAAGTAAAATAAAACAGAAAATGAGATTCAAAATACTTCAGCTCATAAGAAATTTCCTTCTCTGAAAGCAAACCATGAAGTAGAAAAAAAGTAAGATAGCATTACAAGCAAAATTAAATATCCTAAAATAAAAGATTTGGAGATGTTGGGCAAGGTGGTAAGGGAAATATATTCTGAAAACAATGTTCAAAAACTGAGAACAAAAATGGACCAAACAGTTCAGTTAAGTTCAGGAAAGAAACAGAAAGACAAAATCGTACGAGAAATTAAAGCTAAAGAAATGCCCAAAAAAGAACAGACTTGAATTAAAAAAACCTATTAGGGACACTGAGAAAATATCAGGAAAACAATTAAGAGAACGAAAATGAGATAAAAGGATGCTATTGCTTGGTAAAATTGTAACAGGTGGTCCCCAGGAAAAGGGGAAGTTCCCGGTTCCCTGCCCCACGCAGGGAGGGTGGAGCTGAGCAGAGAAAAGAAGGATCTGAAGAAGAAGGAAGCAGGAGGAAGCAGGATGGAGAGCCAGAAGGAGACCTGAGGAAGCCACATGGAGCAGAGAGCGTGTGGTGAAGAAACCGTGCTTGTTTCTTGGCCTTGGACTGGTTGAAACAGATGTGGGTGAGAGATCGGTGGGGAGGTTGACTATGGCAGTGTTTATATTGATTTTGATTGTGCTCTTTTCTTCCCAGACTTGTCTGGCAATTTCTGACCCTTTTCTATGGGTCCCTGCCAGAAGGCGCTTCCGCCTTGTGGGGGCTTTCAGGTCTTGCTTTGGAACAACCTTTTTTGGGTCGACTTTTACCCATGAAGGGGTGGGTAACTTCAGGTGTTTGATTTAGAAATTATATTCTTTGTCTTCTGTATTGTACACTCACAGAATTAAAGTCCCTTTTCATTAAAGTCTTATATGTTTTGTCTTGATGTGGCAGATGGCAGAACCTATTTAGGGCAGGCAGGTTTGGGGGTTCAGTGGTGCCCCTCTCAAGGTTAAGAGATATGTTAATGGATTAATAGGATCCATAAAATTAACAGGATTTTATACTTTAAAAAATCCATAAGGATGTGGGGAGAAAGGAACTAAAACATTTGCTCAGATTCAAGTGAATAACATACCCATACTAAAGCAGATAAACAACAGCAGAAAACAACCAAGTAACATTTGAACACATTTCAATTCATATTCTCAGATGAAAGGTAAAGAGTTATAAATACTCCCATTAGTAAGTTGGCTTTCTTTGCAGTGACATGCTTTAACAATTCTAAAATTATTTTCTAGGATTAAGCAAAATAGATAAATATACTGATGAAAATAGGAATGAAGTTTGTCACTGTGGGAAAAACTAAAAATTGAAGGAGGAGAACAACACACAATTTTGTAACATGAAACTGGTGGGTAGTGTGGGCCAGCTAACTCATGCTGTCTGACAAGATCCTGTAACAGGGTGGTCCCTAGGAAAAGGGGAAGTTCCAGGTTCTCTGCCCCACCTAGAAGGAGGGTAGAGCTGAGCAGAGAAAAAGGAGAGAAGGAATCAGAGGAGGAGAGGAGAAGGAAGTAGGATGGAGAGCCAGAAGACCTGAGGAAGCCACATGGAGCAGCAAGCATGTGATGAAGAAACCGTGCTTGTTTCCTGACCCTGGACTGGTTAAGGCAGATGTGGGTGAGAGACCTGTAGGGAGGTGACTATGGCAGTGTTTATATTGACTTTGATTTTGCTCTTTTCCTCCCAGACTTGCCTGACCATTTCTGCCCCTTTTCCATGGGTCCCGGCCAGAAGGTGCTTTAGTCTTGTGGCAGCTTTCAGGTCTTGCTTTGGGCCAATCCCTTTTGGGTTGACTTTTGCCCATGAGGGGATGGGTAACTTCAGGTGTTTGATTTACAAGTTATATTCTTTGTGTTCCGCATTGTATATTCACTGTATTAAAGTCCCTTTTCATTAAAGTTTTATATGTTTTGTCTTGATGCAGTGGATGGCAGAACCCACTTAGAGCAGGCAGATTTGGTGCTTCAGGGTGCCCTTCTCTCCCTGTCCTCTAACAGATTTTCTGTCCTGGAACAGATTTTGCTCTATAACAGTCTGAGCTTGTGGGGACACATTCCTCAAAAGTTAGGGGGCCCCAAAGCTGGCTCCTGCTGATTTTTTTTTTTTGCCTCTCCTGTCATTGTAGCCACCTTTTTATTCAAATGCATCTGATGAAGTCAAAAGTGATTTTACAAATTGGCTGTTATAGTAAAATCAATATTGTAAAACAAGGCAACACTAAGAACATATTAAAAAATAACCAGAGCTCTTTTCCTACCCAGAACTGGAACCTCACTCTACCATCTTACTTAAATCCTTTTGTTCAGTCTTTAAATGAGGAACTTTACTTAAGCTTTCTCTCCTTCAGTCTTTAAATGAGGAACTTAAGCTTTCTCTTGTTCAGTCTTAAAATGAGTCTTTTAGTGATGGATTACAAAGTAAACTTTTCCACCCTGGCTTTACTTCATCTCTTTCACCTATAGGATGTCTTAATGAGAATGATGGTCATTTTAAATAGTAACTAGTGTAAAAGGGCTTCATTTTAGCTAATCTTTCACTGTGGTAAATACAGAAATGCTAGTCCTAAATTTTATGAATTTATGTAGCTTTTTTAACTTTAACTGTTCTTAGAAAAAAGGGGATGATTGTAATCTTTCTGCTCAATCCATAGACCAATGTAATCTGACTGCTTGCTTGTAATATATAAAGTCCTGCTGAGACCAGAGGCAGAAGACACTTGTACCCTAGACGGACTCCCCTGTCTCCTTAGTCCCGCTCCCCCTGCCCCCCCAAAATCTCCACTTGCCAACCTGTTTCACACCTCTGAAGCTCTTGCCCAACCTTGCCCAACTCCCTTTCCCCACCGCCACTGTGTGTTGAGGCTGGTCCCCAACAGGTGGGTTAGAGTAAAGATAGATACTTTTTGACAACTCTATTGGGAGATCTGATTCTCCTCTCAAGTCAGTGCTGGTCTGTGATGGACAAAGGCAGGGGAGAGATCACAAGACCTAGTCACACAGGGGATGGATAGAAGGGGCTAGTGCAGCAACTCACACATACATAAAATCCGGGATGCCCCCTGGATTCCTGAATATCTGCAGGAGTTCCCAGCAGATAACAGACTGTGGGCTGTATCTGAAGCTCAAATCCAAAAGGTGAAAGATAAGGACATTGAGATAAATGTGATCAGGAATCTCTTCAGAATTTGTTCAAAGACAACAAACCTAGGCTCACAGGGAGTAAGCCCCTCCCAGGGCGAGGCTGTGTCAGCTGCTGCACTAACCCCTTCTATCCATGCCCTTGTGATGCCTCTCCTGCATTCCTTCCTCCATCAGTCTGGATGACTCACTTGTGACTAACAGAATGTAGTTGCCTGATTTCCCAAGTCCAGTCAAAAGAGACCCTGCAGTTTTTATCTTGGTTTCTTGTTACGAGACCATTCAGATTTTTTTCCTCTTGGTCCCAGCAACCATGTGTATTCGAAACCAAGTCACATGGAAATTATAATCGATTAAGAAATGTTTTAAAAGAAATGACACTCATTTGAATAAAAGAGAGAGAGAGAGAGAGTACAAAATAAAAAGAAGCCTGAACCTACAGCCAAGCAGTGGACTGAGAAAGCTATCCAGCTATAAATATAGGTCATTGCTATGGATAAAAAAAGAATGACTCACACGAGAGAAATTGTAACAGGGTGGTCCCCAGGAAAAGGGGAAGTTCCAGGTTCCCTGCCCCACCCAGCAGGAGGGTGGAGCTGAGCAGAGAAAAGGAGAGAAGAGAAGGAATCTGAGGAAGAAGGAAGTTGGGTGGAAAGCCAGGAGACCTAAGGAAGCCACATGGAGCAAAGGGAGACATGTGAAGAAACCGTGTTTATTTCTTGGCCCTGGACTGGTTGACAGAGATGTGGGTGAGAGACACGTGGGGAGGTTGGCTATGTCAGTGTTTATTTTGATTTTGATTTTGCTCTTTTCCTCCCAAACTTGTCTGGCCATTTCTGACCCTTTTCTATGGGTCCTGGCCAGAAGGTGCTTTATTTAGACTTGTGAGGTCTTTGAGGCCTTGTTTTGGACCAATCCCTTTGGGTAGACTTTTACCCATCAATCCCTTTGGGTAGACTTTTACCCATCAATCCCTTTGGGTAGACTTTTACCCATGAGGGGATGGGTAACTTCAGGTATTCGATTTAGAAAATATATTCTTTGTCTTCTATATTGTATCCTCACTGTATTACAGTTCCTTTTCCTGAAAGTCTTACATGTTTTGTCTTGATGCGATAGATGGCAGAACCCATTTAGAGCAGGCAGGTTTGGGGGTTCAGTGGTGCCCCTCTCTCCCTGCCCTGTGACAAAACTAAAGCCAGTAAGAATCATTCTCAGAGAATAGAAATGGGGTCTAATCAAGGACTCCACCACCTGTGCCTGGCTGGACTTAAGAACTGTTACTATGTGCTACCATTTCCCTTGCATTCTGAATATATTGTATACTGCGGTCATCCTGTCTATTCACCATTGCATGTGGCATCTTAGTCCAGGTTTTGAGATTGCAAAGAACACTACTTGTGAAATTATAATCAAAGAGTATCACTCATACCTGGAGCTGATCTAGAAGAAATTCTGGATGTTGAACCTCAGTTTGATGCCATAAAGAAATAAATATTTTGGGAGTGAATATAATTTGCATGTGGTGTAAATATAATTTGTGATTAACATGCAAAGAGGACTTAAAATTATTTGACACTCCCTTCATCTAGACGTGGGATTCCCCTTCACTGTAGTCAGGGCAAACCTTAGTGGCTAACAATATGCAGCAGGAGTGACACTGCACAACTTCTGAGATTCTTGCATTTCTGAACATCTCTTGAAATGTTCACTCACTGGATATGTCTTCTTACAACCTAGCTTCCATCTCATGGTAGACAGAAGCCCATGGAAAGACCATATGCAGTTGTTCCAGTTGAAAATCCAGGATAACGGCTGATTTTCAGCTGCCATCTGTGTGAGTGGGCCATCTTGGATCTCCAGTCCAGTCTCCACCTGACTACAGCCACAGTTGAAATCTCATTGTGATGTATGAAACTCCAAATATGAATCACCTATCTGAACTCTTCTAAAATTCCTCTCTATAAAAAACATGAGCAAAAATAAAATAGCTGTCTTAAGTCACTAAGTTTTGAAATAAAACTTTGTTATACAGTAATGTGCACCTGGAAAAATCAGAATTGCGATTATCAGCATGTGCTCACAGTCTTTAATAGGTGACATATGTGGGCTCTGTCTTATGAGAACCCAGAAGCAAGGATATATCCCTTTGGTGATGAGCACACTTAGTCCCTAAAACTTGGGTTTCTAAATAGCAGTCTTCACTATAAAGAATGAGGACTCTGGAAGAATGTCTGACTCCATGACTAAGGCAAAGTAATTTGCAAGTTGAATGGAAACATCCTGTGGCGCCAGAATGCTGGCTACTCGTTTTAGTGCTTCACAGCTCCCTATCTATCCTTCGTTGTCCTGCTGGAAATACTAGAGCTAGATCTTGTTCTACTTTCCCAGCTGGCACAATGGTATACTCTGTCAGCAAAGATACTGGAGGAAGGGGATACTCTTTTATAGCTCCTGAGATGCTTGTCTGGCAAGCAGGACATCTGGTGGCACTCAAATATCTATTCCTTTGAATCATATACAGTGATGGAAACCGATGCTACCTCAAATAAATAAATAAATTTCTGCTTATTCTGTAGAAATCAACTAATAACCAGTTACTAATTATTTATTTAAACCTTCCTATTCAAATTACTGGGTGGCTTCAATCTCCTAACAAATAGATCCTGACAGAGTCAGAAAGTAAAGAAGTGCCCCAATAAGGATGGGAACAAGCCAAAAAGACACAAGATCCAGTATGCAGGGGCTACTGTTGGCCAAACCTAAGGCCACTGAACCATGAAGATACGTAATAATAGTAATGGATTAAATCCCATTGAGGAAGCATGAACACACAGTTCACAATGATATAAATAAATAAATGAAGGAGAAAATTATTTTTTCATAGTAAAATATCAATAAATAAATGTAGAAGGAATAATAGTGTCAGAATATCATCATTTGACAAATACCAGGCAAAAAATCAGTGGGTACTGAAAAAAGCATGTGAAAGTAATGAAGAATAGAATAGCTCCACAAGTCTCAAAGTTTCCATTCCAAAATATGAATTACAAAGGGAAAAATAACTTTATAGTAGAGAAACTTGTCAAATTAATTTCAGTTAATAACTGTAATAGGATAAGCTCATATCCTGTGGCTTCTGATAGACACATATCACTGATAACAGTCTTCCTACAAAAAGCTATGTAACTGAAATATAATCTTTTCAAAGAAAATTAATTTTACTCTTTCAAGCTCTCTGGAAAGCAGAAGGATGGTATATTAGATTGCAAGATGGAAGCTATGTATTGAGAATGACCAAGCAATGGGTCCTTGTATATACCACTGAGTGCTCCTACCACTTACCTACCAGCCCCAAGAATTTCTAGCTGATGAATCAAGATCAGTTTTAGAGTCATCTGTTTTAGTATTAGCTAAATAATACTGTTATCTGTTTTAGTGTTATCTAATGCTAACATTGACTCTGCCCAACTCCTAGAATTGCTATAAAGATCAGTGTAGGTACTTTTTTATTCAAAGATGATGAAATTTACTTTTTAACTAATTAGACCAAGTATATGACAATAGTGTAACAAAACAGTTAAAAAAAAAAAGTTAAGCAATTTCAGATTGTAGGAATAGAACTACATTTGAGATCAAGAAAAGATCCCAAACAGCTATGAGTAGCTTTATCCACAAAGGACAGAAAGGTGATGACAAACTGAATTGTATCTGGCGAAGGGTAAGTAGGATAATGAATAGCCTAAAACTAGATTCTTTAATATTGATGAGAGAAACAGAAAAGAGCTAATTTTGAGGACAATAAGAACAGTTTTCAATTGTTTGAAAAATTAACATATGAACAAAAAAAATAAAATAGTTCCAGAAGGAAGTAGTACAATGCAACCCTAACAGCATCAAAAATTAGAACTACCTGACTTTTGAGATGGTAAGCTCTTTGTCAATGAGGGTTTTTCACAGGTGGGAAGACCAGATGTTGGGATACTGACAGAAGGACTTCTGTGAATAGGGTGGGGGTGACAGAAAACACTGTGTTCCAGAATTCTCTGTACTTAATGAACTCTTGAAACTGCTTTAATTTTTTAGGAGGTCTTCTTTTTCTTTTTCTGTTTTTAGCAAGACTTGTACAATCACAGATGAAGTATTTAATTCACACATTGTTAATACCAATCTTTTGTCTATAGATAAATATGTTTTTATGTCTATTATGTCTAAAATATAAGGAGCTAATATAAAATATCATGAAGATTAAAAATTGTTTTGCTTACCTTTGCTGATGAAACAATTTGATTGGCCTGGCGTCTTGATAAGTGATCAATTGTCCTTATTAACACTTCAGGATTTGCATTAGCTAAGTGCATTAGACTTTTATAACCTGCATTGTATAATTGTTTTGCTCGACCCTGAAAAGTATCACAAAAGTTAGGAGGATCAGACTTCGGGATCAGGAAAAAACATTTAAGTATCTTACTCAAGGGAAAATTTTTGCATCTAAAGAAAGGAAAAAAATTAATAAACATGGATTTTAAGGAATTTTAAAAGATGCATTTTGGTAGTGCCAGTGTGACTTTCAAGAGAGCTTTCTCTGCAGTTTAAAACAACTGAGGTATGCTGTAATTAGGAATAGAAACTCACTAGTATGCATAGGACAGAGCCATTATTTTAGATCTCCAGTCAAATGTTCAAGTCTGACACTGACTACCTTCTCAGGGACCACAAATGAGTGTGTGCATGTGTTATCTCAAGTAGAAGACCTTCTCATACAGAATAATAAAGAATAAAATGAAACTGAAGGTTGGTGAAAAAAACTTAGAAACCAGCTGACTATACTTTCTTCTAACTCTCTTAGAGAATGTAAATAACCCCAGTTACAACCAAATCACTGCTCCCTTAAGTTAAATCCTGGGTCTAAAGTGATACAAGTTGGGGAGGCAGGAAGAGATACTAAGGATGAATTGTATGTAGCACATGCATACCTGTGACAGTCACTTTTATCCCCATTGTCATTTTTTGGCCCATAAATGTTATTTTTCATCAAGGAGTGTTTCCAGGTTAATGGGGGACTTTGAGAGACCGTGGCAATAATTTTTTTCCTAAAGGGGCTGCCATTATAAATGAGCAATAGAGCTGAAAAGTTTTATCACAAACAGAGTAGTAAAACCTGATGTTAGTTGATATTACCTCAACTGGCAACGTGAAAGGTTACTAACCTCTAAAACTCCAGTCACTTCCATGAGAGGAATTAGTTCTGCCTTTACACAGTAAGTCAACTTCTTGGTAAGTTCTACCAAAAGGGCTTTATAAACCCAAAACTCCTCAAGTTCCTGTAGGACACAAAGCAATTTACAGAATTAAAATCTGTTATGTTATTTCAAAGTTCAGTTTGTGTAATGAAGGGCTCAGCGAGGATGTTCCATGATGTAAGTTCTGAAACTTGAGTTAAGCCAGAGTAAAAAATGATTCAAGCAAAATTATGAGAGACTTTGAGGGGACCAACTAGTTTAGGGATAAGATTGGAAATTGAAAAATAAGTCAATAGGAAAAGTTCTACTTTTTTTATATCATAACATTAGTAAAAGTATGCAGTTTTTCTTTTCAAATGACTAAAAATAATTTCTAACACTGGGAATATATCCTTAAGACAACTTATTAAATATGGAGGGATTCAAATGTAAGATGGTGTTCAATGAAAACAATACTTATAACAAAAACATTGGAAGCCATGAGTTGATAATTGTTAAATGCTGGTGGTTAAATGGGTAGTTGTTATATTATTTTGTCTTCTTTTGTGTAGGAAATTTTCTATAATAGTATTTTTTTAAAAAAGGTTTATTTATTTATGCACACAGAGCTGGGGTACAGGCCAGAGAGCAGGAGGTGGTGAGAGGCTTCACCAGAGACAGAGTGGAGAACAGAACAGGCAGATCATAGAAGTACACTGCTGAGGTGAACAGCGGGCGGGTCAGGAGAGGTCTGCTGCGCCATGTGAATCACCTCCCAGTGTGGGGATCGAACTCATGCTGAAGTAGCTTTAGCTTCTCAGTGCTGTGCTTTCACCGGCTGCACCACCAGGGAGGGCCCTATAATAGTATTTTTAAAAATGCTGTCTGGGCATCACTATGAGATTATAAGAAGCATATAACAGCACTAGCGGGCGTGTTTGTACCCAGTGGGAAAGTCAATGCACTAAAAGTGATAGTAAAAAGAACACTTTGAATAGAAAGATTAATTCAATCAATCCAGAAACTGCCTTTCCTCTCTCTTTACTGTTCTGTGAGATTATCATTTTCCCTTATTGTTGACACTTTTGTAGGTTCGTCTATCATTTGTAGTTAAAAGCATCTTAACTAATACTATCTAACTAATACTATTAAAATGATGCTCTTTAAAAAAAAATGATGCTCTTTTATACCATTTTCAAAATTTTTTAGGAAAAATATTTTAAAATATTGAAAATACATTCATGAGCACAGAAACTGTCAGGTAGACTGTTAATAGAACTGACAATCAAATAGTTGTTTTTAAAGTTCAACAATTAGATTTTTTTACTTGAACAATTTTACAAGGCTCAACCCTAACAGCATCAAAAGTAAAATAAAGGTATAGAATATTAGAGGATGCATCTTTAACTACAAAGAACAGCAAACATAAAAAATTTAAGAAAACACATTTTAAAAGTTAATTTTTTTTTTATTATTTAAAAGACTTACTGTTTAACTAGAATGTGATCAGGAAAAATAACCAAATATTAAAAAGTCAACATAGGCAGTAAGTTTGCTAAACTAATTATTCATTTCAAAATCAAGGTTTTTTTTGATTATTTGTTCATTATTACACTATGATAGGATTAACTGCCATGTACATAAAGAATATGTAGATTAAGATAGGAAAATGAAGTAGATTTTAAGCAAAAAAATTAACAGGGTAAAATATTTTCAAAAATTGAGTTTAGAAACAAATATTTAAAGAATTTATGATGCTACCCAGTAAAAAGAAATTTAAATGTAAAAATTGTTTATATATATATATTTTTTTTTAAAAGATTTATTTGTGCATACAGAGCTGGGGTACAGGCTAAAGGCTCAGGGGCGGCGAGAGGCTTCACCAGAGACAGAGTGGGGAGCAGAACAGGCAGATCTACGAAGTACACTGCTGAGGGGAGTAGCGTGCAGGTCAGGAGAGGTCTGCCATGCCATGTGGTCACCTCCAGGGCAGGCGGGAATCGAACTCATGTAGAAGTGGCTTTAGCTTCTCAGTGCTGCGCTTTAACCTGCTGCGCCACCAGGGAGGGCCAAAATTGTTTATATTTTAATAAAAAATTATTTGAGTAGAAGAGTGTAGTAAATTTGACTAAAATACTTAAGGAAATTCCAAAACTTTCTTTTAGTAAAGTCTTAAATCACCCTAAATGCATTTGGGTAAATGCATTTACCCACAAATATTTTATAAAGTAAAATTTGATGTAGGGCTAAAGTAAATATGGAAACAAAAATGGTAAATTACTATAGCAATCAAAAGTACACGTTATTAAGTAGTCTCAGGTTATCTGTTGGATATACTGATCAAACATTTAATGTGGCTATCACTAGTGAAAAAGACACAGAATCTACAATGGAGAAATGTTCTTAAGAGATGATTCCAAATATTTGAAATAACTAATGGTGTTCAAAGCATAGGGCTAAACGAGGTGCTTTCTACTTTTTCATTATATATTTTATTTAATTCTGTCATTTTTGTGTGTTTCATAAACTTGTATATTTCTCCAAGTGGATAAAAACAAAGATACATCTTAAATAAATTATGAGTGCAATGGGAAAATATGACTAAGTGGTTTTGAGTTTAGTGTAACAGTTAAGCAAGAAGTTGCACAATGGATACATCCATTACTTAATGGAATTACCTCACAGAAATGTAACACACACGAAGAGAATGCAGCAGCTCCAGTGTGAAGATTTTGTATATATCCTCGAGGCATATTAAATTTTTCAGACACACTCCAAATATTGGTCTCTTTGAGCAAAGTATAAAGAACAAAAGATAGGTATAGTCTGTTGACAATGTCCTTGTCCACCTTCTAGAACGACATAATCAAATGTATTTATGTACTGGACCTGTTAAAAGTCTACGTTATTTTCAAGCAGGACAAAATGTAAAAGTAAATGAAGTTGTACTACCACAGAGCAAGAACAAAATGATTCCATAGAAACAAAACTAATTTCTAACATATGTATCTTAGATTCATTCAAATTATCATTTTTCTAAGTATAAAAAAAAGAGATGAGTCAAGCTGTTTTAAATTAAACTTCTCTCTACAGAGAGATTAGTGGGTTCGATTGTGTTCTTCCTCTTGCTCTGAGAAAAGATGTGCTCAAGTCCTAACCCCTGGACCTGTAATTGTGATCTTATTTAGAGATAGGATCTTTGCAGATGTGATCAGCTAAGGATCCTGAGATTAAATCAGTCTAGAGTCCTAGATATATGGTAAGACATTAGAGCTCTTTTCATGACTGATGTCTTTATGCTTATAAAAGATATAAAAAAGGTCATTATACCAACCAGAAATATTTTTGGTAAATGTGTAAATTTCTGGTTCTCAGATATATTTTATACAGCAAAATGGGTATTACATTAAAGAAAAAAAAACTATCAATTTAACAAAGAGATAATATGTTAACAGTATTAATTTTTAAAAATAGATTTAGTTAATTGTTTAATAAAGAAAAAAAGTATGGTACCTTCTTGACAACTTGACCTGATGCTTTTTTCACAATAAAACTTTCAGAGACACCAACAAGTGCAGCTACCTTTTGTTCTGCTGGACTGAGTTTGTTGAACTATGTAGAAAGAGTAAATACATGAAAAAATTAAATTGTAATCATAAAAAAACTGTCATTTGACTCAAACCCAGTATTTCCTTTGCTATCACATTTTCATCATCAAAAGGAGATGAAAAACAACATAAATGCTATTTACAAATACCAGAAGCTTAAGAAATATATTATTAAAATAGCACATCTGTTAGCGACACATAATACAAATACTGATTTCCATGGAATTTTTGTTTATGTTTTATGTTGGAGATGTTTGGGTAGAAGGCGAAGATGGAAAGGTTTTGAAAGTAACTGCTTTATATAGTATCAGTTAAAAACACTCATGGTTAACAACTTAAAAATATGACACTAAAAAGGCCCACAGTTGAAAGCTGTATACCACTTTACTGTTTACAGTAAAGTCATAAAAGACTAAAGTTCATGTAATATGTACTATATTTTACAGTGTTCCTGACTGACCAGGAAATAGGTGTAAATGAAGTGATGACTTATGCTATCAATTAAGCAGCTGCTTGTTTATGAAGACAATGGCAAACAGATGAGAGGCAAATACAGATAGACTAGCTGAAGTAGACAAAGTCAAAAGAAAATTAATAGGTGGCCCAGACACTATACCTTTGAAAGCAGTGTCAGAAGAGTAGCTGAATTAAACTTGTGCGAGAAGCTTTGGGGTTCTCTGTGCGAGCCCACGAGTTCTCCTAAGTTTGGGCAAGTGCGGCCTGAGGCTTGGTCTACAGAAGCAGCCTTTTCCTCCCTGACAGCTGACCTTCTACAGAATCTCATCTTAGTGGTTCTTATTTCTTCCCCTTTTTTACTGCAAATTAAATTGTATACTTATATATTGTAAGGTGAATTTCCTCCAGTGAATTGTAGTGTAATTATATGTGATTGGCTGGAGATGTAAGTGAAATCTCTTTTCTCAGGTGGAAGTTAGCCACAATGAGATGCAAACTTCATAGTACACTTTACCATTTGGTTTTGTAATAAGTACGTCAACTCCAGCTTTCCACTGCTAATATAACAAATAGTTCTGCTCAGGTATAAATATTACAGGTTTGTGTGGATCTGATAGAGTTATCATGTAATCAAACTCTCAATCATCAGAAATGGCTCTCACTGTTTTCTTTATATCTTAGGTGTTATAAAATGTAGTGGTCACCAAATCATAACGGTAACTGTCAGTCAAAAAACAGTCAAAAAAATTCTTTTTAGCCTGTACCTTTCTTTATTTTTTCAATAACACGCAAGTTCCTATTTAACAGAAAAGTGATATTTAAGTTAAATAAGCCAAAAATGCAGTTGTCATGTGATTATTTTTAAAAACTGAAAGACAAAGGTTCAATTTCAATTTTTTCAAATGTTTTTAATAGAGAAAAATGAAGTGAATAACTTCTTGATAAAATTCATATCATTATTAATAAACTAAAATAGCTTATATTGAAGAATCTTAAATTCTCACCTGCCTGAAGTATATCATCCAATCAGGGTCACACTGAGAAGCCATATCATAGGGAGTTGTTAGGTAGATTAGATGAAGAAGACTTTCAAGCACAAGCCCTTCAAGACCTTTCTTCAAGTCTCTGTAGAGAATGTCACAATAAGCCAAATCTATAGTTCCTAGAAGACACACACAAATATTTCACCTTTCAAATTATCAGAGGGGGAAAGAAAGTATTGGTATTAGTTACCTAAATTCAATAAAAAGTCTTCACAATCTCTTATTATGTGGTTTAGCACAACTAATAGGGTGGTCATTTTGACAGTATCAATCAACATTTAATAACTATATACCTTCTAATCCAACTATGTTATTTTTGGGAATATAATCCAGGAACTAAGTTATTTTTGGGAATATAACCCAGGAAAACATTTCCACATATACCCCAAAGTAGAAGTGCCCATGCAGCCTTGTTTAAATTGAAAAAAATCAGAGTTATTTCAAGTATCCATTAGTATGGGAGTGATTAATAAATACTATGGATTACTATATTATTAGAAATATGAGAGATTTAAGTGGCCTGACATATGAAAATGCTCATAATATTTTATAAATAAAAAAGCAATTTGCTAAAAACTGTACTCTTGTTCCTTCAAGGTAAACTACATACATCTGTATACATGTATGTTTTTATATGTGTATATATGTATACATATGCTCATATACACACTAATAGAAAGTGGAAATGGGACAAGAGTATGGGATTACTCTTTACATCATTCTGAATTCTTAGGATTATTTTAGTGACATGAAATATTTCACATTAAATAAATCATGATGCAGCTATTAAAAATGAAACTATTCACTGTTTATGGAATAATCTCTAAGGTACTGTATTAAGCAGAAAATGCAAATTACAGAACAATATAAGTGATTGCTTAAAAACAAAAACTTCAAAAATCTTAGAAGTATATCTATATGTGTATGTATGTATGTAGTAATACTTAGGAAAGATATACATCAAACTGGTACTCTTAGAGGGATACTAAGATTTGTGTGATTGCTGAAGGAGAAAAGTGTGAAGGAAGGATAACTTTTTTCTATATATACTTCTGTAGTATTCTAAATTACTTACAATTCAAAATATTTTTCAGCTTAAAGTACTCTTAACAGTTTCTAACAGCTTTTGTAATATGAAATTACAAATCCAAATCAAAGTAACAGAAAATTTTCTATTATTTCCAATGGATTTCACAGATAAATAATAAGATTTACGTAAGCTCTTACCTTTAAAGGAAGCTTGGCCCAATTTTGTAATATGAAAATTATGTTGGAACTCTTCTTCAGATTGATGAATAGTATCTTTTTGTAGAAATCCTTTTTCTGTCAAAATAGGGTCTTCTTTTAGGAGTCCTTTTTCTGTCAGGTATCTAAGTGATTCTATGGTTATTTCCCAGAGACTTTTTTCTTTTAACAAGATCTTTTGCTGAACACCCAAAAATGTACCATTCATAAAGCGATGTATGTCACCAAGATTTGTTGCAATCTGAAACAATTCAGAACACCACTGGAGTATTTTCCTTAATTCAAGACATCATTTTGAATACCTATTAATCAAGTAATGATTCAACTCCAGTTCAAAGCTACTGGAGTAAAAAATTAGTATAAAATCTACACAATTATTTCAACCACTCCGTGCACTTGTCCAAAAATACGATCTGAAAGAGTAATAGATAGATATTCTGAAAGAGACCAATGTAACTCTTACAGTAGATTGTTAACAGTTGTTCTACTAAATAGTTATTGTGGTTAATCTTACTGTGCCTAATTTATAAATTAAAATTTATTATAGACGATTTGTCTTGAGTAAAAACATCAGATTCTGTCTTCAGTTTCAGGTATTCACTGAGATCTTGGTACATATACCTTGCAGTTAAGGGAGGCTACTGCAATTTTGCTATGGCATTTTAAAATTAATGAGGAAAAACAAAGGGAAAGATAGCTATAATATTCATATGTTTTTGTTAAAAAACTTCTTATAGTTTTTTTTTGTTTGTTTTTTTTTTTTAAAGAATTTATTTATTTGTGCATACAGAACTGGGGTACAGGCCAGAGGCTCAGGGGCGGTGAGAGGCTTCACCAGAGACAGAGTGGGGAGCAGAACAGGCAGATCTACAAAGTACACTGCTGAGGGGAGCAGTGGGCAGGTCAGGAGAGGTCTGCCGCGCCATGTGGTCACCTCCGGGGCAGGCGGGAATCGAACTCATGCGGAAGTGGCTTCAGATTCTCAGTGCTGTGCTTTAACCCGCTGCGCCACCAGGGAGGGCCAAAAAAACTTCTTATAGTTTTTTAAGATTTATTTATTTATGCATACAAGAGATGCAGAGGGTGACAGGATTCACCAGAGACAGAGTAGGGAGCAGAACAGGCAGATCCACTGAACTACATTGCTGAAGAGAGCAGTGGGTGGGTCAGGAGAAGTCTGCCACATCATGTGTGTCACCTTTCTGGCCAGGGATCGAACTTGTGCTGCAGTGGCTGTAAATAGCTTCATGGTGATGCGCTTTAACCCGGTGCACCACCAGAGAGGCCCTATAATTCTGTTGTCTTTAGATACATACTTTCAATCCTTTAAAATTTATTGAGACTTGTTATATGATTCAGAATACCATCTATATTGCTGAGCATTTCATGTGCACTTAACATATGTTCATATATACAATGACATTCAGAAAGTAGAGGCTAAGAAAGCAGAAACCTAAATTATAGCTCATCTGAACTATAACTCACTGACGGTGACTCTGTAGCACTAGACTTCTAAACTATAACTCACTGAAAACGAACTAATGGCTAATTCACTGGATCTGACACCTGATCTGATATATAAATGAAGTAGTACTTGATGATCTTCATGATCTCTCTTCCTTTTTTCCCTTGCAAACCTTATTGCAGGTCTTTATTACATTTTACAGATTACTACAAGTATTTCCAAAGTAACCTTGCAGTACTTCTGCATATTATTATAATCTCTGTTCCACAGATAGGAACAACTAAGTAAGGCTTAATAACATAGCTGAGGTAGGGATAAATAATAAACATAGCTGAGGTAGGGATCCAGGCATGTTTGATATCAAGCCCTGGTACTAAATAACCACAGAACTCTTTTACTAATTCTCTACTTAAAACTGACAGTTTTACAATTCTCCAGTTTGATTTAAGCAAGCTCTTTCACCTCTTTCAGCCTACAGTCGTCTGGCCCCAACATTCCTGACCCTCCTTTTAGGGTCTGTAGGGTCTTTTACTCTTTAGCCTCTGTAGGGGCTGTTACCCACATCAGCTCACACTTTCTCATCTTTCATTCCATTTTGTTAAGTACCTTTAATAGTCACCCCTTCCTTCTCCTTATATAAAACCTCACTCTCTCTTTTTTTTTTTTAAAGATTTATTTTTATTTTTGCATACAGAACTGGGGTACAGGCCAGAGGCTCAGGGGTGGCGAGAGGCTTCACCAGAGACAGGCAGATTGACGAAGTACACTGCTGAGGGAAGCAGCGGGCGGGTCAGGAGAGGTCTGCCACGCCATGTGGTCACCTCCGGGGCAGGCGGGAATCGAACTCATGCGCAAGTGGCTTTAGATTCTCAGTGCTGTGCTTTAACCCACTGCGCCACAGGGAGGGCCTAACCTCACTCTCTTTTTATATTACTAGTTTCTTTTCTTCCTTGCAACTGTTATTCTTCTAAATTGCCAGGAAATAGTATATATCACATCACTCACCTAACCTTTTCTCATGATATCCTTTATTAACCAACAATTTTTTAATATTTTCACCTAAGCTGGTCAGGTTAATGAAAGAAGACTGCATGACTACCTACGAGCATTGGTTTTACTGACAGAGAAAGGTAAATTCAAATCCCGTCATTGCTACTTTGTGGGTAAGTGACATTTGGCACAAGGCTAAAATTTATTTAACTTAAGAGCAATTCTTAAGAAAAGAGCTAAATTTCTAATCTTAGAGAAGAGAGTGCTTTTTCTATTATGCCCTTTTTCTGTTTTTTTTTAAACTTTCTGCTGGTAAAGGCTACAATAATATTTGTCATCCCAGAATGGCTATAGAACTAAAGGTGAACTTTACAAGGACAGAGACCCTGGGTTATTCCACATCAGGACCCACATCTGCAGTTTTTTGCTTCCCCCTTAGTATCCACCAAAGCCTCTTGTTATGGATGCTAGCTGGATTGCTAATTTTTCATATTTGTTATAATTCAGTAGATTAAAAACGCACATATAAACCTAGGTTCAGAGATATCATGTCATGGACTATTTGTTTCCAAATTAGACTACAGGTTGACATTTTCTCATATTTTACAGTTTTCATAACTTTTTAACCTCTACTATCTCAGGTGACAGTAATAAGATTTAAAAATATTAAAAAATACCTTCAAACCAATCAAAGAGAGAAACAAAGTTTGGATTCCCCTGGTGACTTCTTGAACAAGACAGCTGTAGCAGTTTTCCAATGGTCTATTTATTAACTTCAATACCTACAAAAGTTAAAATATCATGCACCATGTTATTATAAAGATAAAAATGGTGTTTCATATATAATGATTTTATATTCTGCATAAATTTTGTGTAGACATGGAGAGAAAAAACGTAAGACAGAAGACTAAGAATTTAGAGGGCATTGTGAGAATGTTAAAAAGAAGGCAATAGGGAAAACATTTCCATTAATTCATTTAAAAATAATAGTTTCTTCAAGTGTTATAAAGAGAACAGTAACTAAAAAATGATCTCATCAGAGACTTAAGCCAAAAACCAACAAAGCCAAAGCAAGCAGGCAACCAACCAGAGTGAGTATTACCTGTTGTTTGTCTTTTTCTTGCAATATAAGGATACTCTCCCCAGTACTATCCATTCCAGCACGGCCCGCTCTGCCAATCATCTGTTGATATTGATTTTTCTTTAAAAATTCCCTTGCAACATAGGGCGCTCTTAAAATAACTCTACGGAGTTAACACAACTGATTAAAATTGATACCCCAACTATTATGATAGCGTCTATTTTTTGCACTCAATTTCATTATATCCCTGTGACATGAAATTCAATGACATAGGAACTTCAGATAACAAGTAACTACTATTTCCAAGAATCTATAATGTACTAGGGTCTTAATGTATATTATCTGTAATTCTTACAAAATCTTGACAATAATGTATTTTTTAAACAAATGGGTTAACTGAAGCATGAACAAATGTTTTATCCCACAACACAAAATTAGTAATCACCTAAATCATGAATTGAATTCAAGTATGTCCAGCTGTAAAACTTAGGATTCATCCATTATCACAATAGTCTCCAAAGCTTTTCAGTTTTTAACCCATAAATGATAAATGTGAGCATCTATCACCAGCATAACACATTTTATGAATATATGATTGTCAACGAAATGCAAAAGCAGATTTCAACTATTTTTGGCATACAACAATGATGATTTTAATCCTATTCACCTATGTAATAGTCTATAGTCAGTTTTTTTCTGTTTAAAGAGAAAAATCTTTGTCATTTATCTATAATAATCAACTGCTTTATTTATAAATCTTAATAGTCAAAAGTAACAAACATTTGAAGAAAATTAGTAAAATAAAACAACTAGAACATACAGAATAAATGACAAAAGCAAATAGGATAGGTAACAGAAGTGAATTTGAAAAACTCTAATTAGTATTCATAGTAAATTCTAGAAGGCATTGCTCTTATTATTCTGAATAAGAGCAGACTTACCAAAAAAGAGTAGTAAGTTTTTTTTTTGTGAATTAAGAAAAAAATTTAAAGTCATTTAAAATTTAAAAAATTCAAAAGGACAAAATAATGAGTGAACATAAATATAGTAAAGGATGCAGTTAAAACCTTTTCTTATATAGAAGATAAGGTTGAATTAAAAACAGAAAAACATGCAAGAAAAGACTGAAAACATTTAAGACAAGTTAAAAATTGAAGGCTGAATCTAAGAGGCATCAACACTGTCTAACTCAAATTATAAGAGCAGAGAACAAATATAATGAAGGGAAACAAAGGAAATAACTAAAAGAAATTAAGATGAAGGAAAGCATAAAACTGCAGCTGCAAAAGGAAGCTGGAATCCTTTTCATAGCAAGATGTTAAAGTCTGAGGTCAAATTAAGACATCTTCAACTACACAATACAAATACTCAAAACATTTTATATTCACTGCATTAAAAATATTCCTCAGGAACAGCAAAATAAATAAGTCAGAGAAAGAAAATGAGAGATGCAAGAGGCAGTGGTAAGCACAAAAACAAGTAAAATTCAAAGGTTTAAAGGTTAAGTTCAAATTATTATCAAGTATAAATTGAAAGAAAATTAAAATTGTCTAAAATTCTATGCAGCATACATAAGGTAGCATCAGAGAATATACAAATGCTAACTAGTTATCTGCAGGATTGGTTACAGTCATAGCGGTGATAGTGTAATTCTAAAGTGATACAGAAGCACTTAATTACAACTATTAAAATTTTAAGAATAGCAATTGAAATAAGAACAATAAACTGAATGTAATTTCCATTTATTCACTCTATTTGCTAGGAAAATAGAAAACTTAATCAGTGACAGCTTAAAAATTAAATGATGGAACATTTTGTGGCGGTGGAATTGGGAATGGGCTCAAAAACGGGGTGGGGGGAGGGAAATGCACGGGATTATGGTGATGGCACATGGATGACTTGGTGATGGGAAACCCGCGGGGATTACAATTGAGATGGAAAAAAAATGTACAAAATGATGTAAAAATAAACTTTTGTAATAAAAAAAAACTCAGAAAAAAAAATTAAAGGATGGAAAATGATATACTTGGCAAAAAAATGTAGTTTTAATATTCAAAGTAAAACCACTAAAAGTACATACTACAGGCTCTCCCTGGTGGTGCAACAGGTTAAAGCACAGCACTATGGAGCTATTGCAGCCAATTCAGCACAAGTTCGATCTCTGGCAAGGGAGGTGACCCACATGGTGTGGCAGAACTCTCCTGACCCACCCACTGCTCCCTTTAGCAGTGTATTTCAGGACATCTGCCTGTTCTGCTCCCCACTCTGGCTCTGGTGAATCCTCTCACACCCCCTACTCCTGCACCACTGGCCTGTACCCCAGTTCTTGTATACATAAATTAATAAATCTTTAAAAGAATTTAAAAAAATGGTTTCTATCTGGATTCTGATTTTTTAATATATCTGTCAAAATTCAATAAAGAAATGCTTAAATTTCTAAAAAACAATTTTTTGGGAATATTTGTATACTCTTGTGAAAGTTGTCCATTCAAATGTATGTAGGTATGTATGTGGTTACATACATAGGTATTTATAGCAGTATGAATTCACAGACATTTTATTTGGATTTTGTTTCACTGTCAGCTCTTGGGAAGTTTTACAGTTGGTTTCTGTATGTCCCTTTGATTCGATCTGATTCTAACATAACACAAATTACTCTTGTTTGTTTTCATTTTTAAAAAAGATTTATTTATTTATGTATACAGAACTAGGGTACAAGTCAGAGTTGCAGGGATATGAGAGGCTTCACCAAAGACAGAGCAGAACAGGTAGATCTATGAAGTACACTGCTGAGGGGAGCAGCGGACAGGTTGGCCAGGAGAGGTTTGTCACGCCATGTGGGTCACCTCCAGGGCCAGGGGTTGAACTCAGACTGAAGCGCTGTGGCTAGCCTGCAGTGCTGTGTCCTAACCTGTTGGGCCACCAGGGAAGGCCTCTTGTTTTTTTTTTTAAGATACTAGTACAAGTTCTCTGTTTCAAGGAAATCCCAAGGTATTTTAAAATGATGGAAAGCCTGCCAATTATTTTCTAGACAACTAGTATGATAAACCATAACATCAAAACCAAAGAGAAAGGGCACAAAAGAAAGAAGGAATCTAATACTGGGAAATGTAATGTGATAAAAAAATGAATCACAGGAGAAGGAGGATGGATACAAGAGGCAGAGATAAGCACAAAAACAAGTAAAATATTAAAGGGAAAAACCCAAACAACCAACACTGCAAATGGTGAAAAAAATAGGATAAATTCTCATGACTGAAAAAGAGTAAAGTGATTATAAAACTTCTGACAAGACAGGAACTGAAAAGTGTTAAGTCTGGCCCAGTTTCTTACACCTCACCTTCGAGCTGGTAGGTTCACCCCTGCTGCCAGGGTGGAGGTGCACGTTAAAAGGCAGAGAACTCCTGCGGAGTAGGCCTCTTCCAGGAGCTTCCTCTCATCACTTGTTAAACCACTGTGGTGGTAGGCAACTCCAAATGGGATAGTGCGTTTCAAAACAGGACACAGGTTTCCACTGCTGGTGTTCCTCAAGTTCTTAATGACCTCCTGTTTTTCTTTCTCCTTGTGTTTCAGATAGTTCCTAGGAAAACAATCTGTTAGAAATATGAATGCTTGATCTTACAGGGACAAAAGTGGCTATCGCTTTAATTTCAGCAGATGTATATAAACATTCTATTTTAAAAAATGTGTTACTTCTGTTGGTATAAGTACATAAAATGTCTTTAGAATTTTGATTCTAACTTCATCAACTATTAGGAAGTCTCCCTCAATCATTTTTGTGGTCATAGGGGCCTATCAAAATATGATTACAGTTAGGGGAAAAAAGTGTTCACATAAACACAATACTTTGCATATAATTTCAGAAGATTCATGAACTTCATTTATCCCTATATTTCATGAATCCATGACCTACACTGATGCCTTGCTCTAGATGTTACCATGATTATTTTTATTAGAATTATGTATCTTTATTGAAGATGATTTTAAGCCATACATTTTCTTCTCAAGAACCAAAATGACAGCTGACAGTTATGCCTCCTCCAAGGTCAGGTCTTTAGAATCTAGCATAACATCTTACTATAAAATTTGCAAGAAGTAATTAGTGCTTGTTGAATAAATAGAAAACACAGTATACATCATGGTAAAAATAAAAGTTTATAAGATCAACATACTTGCTTAAAAATTTGCATATCATTTCAGCAACATTTTCACAGTTCTTCTTGGTGGGACAAAACACTAAGCAGGAATAATTAGGAATCACTTCTGTCACCAATGCTACCAAGTGATCAGGATCCATTGTTTTCAAAATATCAGAATACTGCATAACAAGATATAGGAATGAGTTGGTTAGCAACTGTGAAAGTCTGCCATTTTATCATTTTTTTTGGCCATTTTATCAGTTTTGAATAGTAAGTAAGCCATCTCTAATTCTGAAATCCTCACCTAATAAATCTAATCATTTAAAAGGAAACATGAAAACTATATTAAACAACAAAATGTTAAGTTCCACTTTTCTATTAATTAAGGCATTGTTAAATATATTTAGTTTTAAAGAAGTGAAAATAGGCCCTCCCTCATGGCACAAAGCTCAGCACTGCAAGCTAGCCATCGCTGCTTCAGTGTGAGTTTGATCCCTAGCCCCGGAGGTGATCTACATGGCACAGCAGACCTCTCCTGACCTGCCTGCTGCTCTCCTCAGCAATGTACTTTGTCAGTCAGCCTGTTTTGCTCCCCACTCTGTCCCTGGTGAGTCCTCTAAATGTCCCTGTACCTCTGCCCTGTACCCCAGTTCTGTATGCATAAATAAGTAAATCTTAAAAAAAAAAAAGAAGTGAAAATAGTTAATGTTGTTATTAACCTCACTGCATGTCATGTCCACCAAAGCATAACAAAGAAATCTATAGAGAGAACACAGGTTGTTTCTAATAGTGAAAGAACTGCATCATTAAAATATTCCTCTTAAAACACAGACTCAGTATGCCACAGGATATATATTCAAAAATGTATTTATCAAGCAGACACAAGGAAATCAAAAGGGAAGAAGTAAAATGTAAAGTCATTTAAAATCTCACTTCAACATTATTAAAAATTTAATTATATTAATTAAAATACAGATATCAAAAGTATCTTTATAAAAGTATAAAGTCCCTTTCCCCTTTTAATATCTTACACATAAGCCACAGCACATTAACTTAGTGAGCATTAACATTTTCATACATCAATATCTGAACTACAGAACCCAAAATACTTCATTTTATTGCTGTTAGTGAGTAAGTAAAAATTTAAGGGAGAGGTTCCCAAATTTTCATGGTTCACAGAGCCCCAAGGTCAAAAGAAACACATGAGTACATTATTTCTTAGGGAGTTAGGTGCCAACAACTTCACGAGTGTGTATTTCCTCACAACTTAGTTGCCGTTTGAGTAAATAACACAAATAAGCTGAATGAAATAGAAAAAACCTTACTTTATTCTTACATAACCCTAGCGGCCCACCAATGGGAGGTGCACACAGTTGAGCAGTTCTTCCAACCTTGCAATCAGATTGATGTAGCCAGCTTCATTTCCTGTGTCACACTGATCTCTCACAAGTTATCTGCTTATAGTGAATGCAAACCCTCACCCCCCAAAAAAGTAACCAACTGCACAATGACAAAGTATCACAGGAATGCAGTATTGTCTGAAGTTGAAACTGAAATTACATTGAGCCAGAGGTTTGTATAGTGTCCAGGAGAAGACAGGCATCAGCTGTTTCTCTCAGAAAACCTGAACTCTCCCATAGTACCCACAGGAATCTTGTGGAATTCCCTGGGCTCAAAGTCTGGAAGTCCTATCTTCAAGGGGAAGCAATATTACCTTATAATGAAGGATCCGTGAAAAAGTCATGCCATTCTCAGCTTTGCTGTCAACCTCATATATCGTGTCATTTATTTTTAGGTATTCTTTTAATTTAACCTGGAATTAAAAGGACATTTGCAATTAATGCCATATATAATTCCTCTTTACAGTTTAAGGTTTTGCAAACTGTTGTAAAAAAAAAAAAAGACAGCTATACAAAAACCTGAGCTTTCCCAAGTTATGTAAAGTGTACTTCAACTTCAAAGTTTTTCTTTGTCATTTGTCTCTTTTTTCCCTTTAAACCAAAACAGTGATTAACATCCTTGAAGAAATACTTTTGAATTGACTAGTCACAGATATAAAAGGAAATAAGACATGTTTATATTTAGTAAACAAAAAAGTATAGATCAACCAAGTATTCACACTCACCTGTTTATTCAGGAGCTATTTGTGTTATCATTCAAATCTAAAACTTTCTTACTACTTACCAGTTTCAATTCTAAATATCACCATAATATTTTTAATTTAAGTATTTGTAGACAAAGAGTTTATAAATATAACCGCTGATGGCACAGGGGTTAAAGGCTCAGCACTATCAAGCTAGAACCAGCTATGCAGCACACTTTCCATCCTTGCCAAAGAGCTGACCCACATGGCACAGCAGACCTCTCCTCAGCTGCTCCCCTCAGCAGTGTATTCAGTTGATCCACCTGTTCTGTTTCCTATTCTGTCTCTGGTGAATCCTCTCACCCTCCCCCCAACACCTCTGGCCTAAACAGGTTTATGTGCTTAAGTAAATTAAAAAAAAAAAGTTTATAAACATAGTTCATTGCATTTTTAAAGACTAGCATCTAATTTCAAAATTAAGGTCAGAAACATCTCTTGAACTTATAGGAGGAATACAGGGTAAACAAATGAAGAATCAGGGAACAAATAACAATAAAAAATCCCAATACAACAAAACAAAAATAAACAGACAACTATGAATCAGAGACATGCTGCAGGGGAGGGGAGGCAGAAGGATTGAGGCGTTGGGGCGGGGTGGGGTGAGGAGGAGCACCAGGGGCTGTGGTGATGGTGCAAGGGTGAACTGGTGGTGGAAATTCTATGGGGACTACACCTGAGAAAAGAAAGAAAACGCTGTAAAAAAATAATGCAAAATTAACAATGATGTAAATATGTAAATAAAAAAGAATATATAATAAAAGAAACATCTCTTGAAAATTCTCATATTTTGTGAAAATTTAAAAACATCAGATTTCAAATAAAAATTATTCTCTGAAAACCTGACTAAACACAGCAAATGTGCACTACAACTACACACAAAGTATATGTACATAGCCCCTTTCAAATAAATGTGAATTACATTTATCAATTTTCTTCAAACCTTTCGAGAATACTGTTATTAGGGAGTTTAAATTTAAATCCATGTGAAGTCTTAATTTATTAACAAAGCATAACTACCAAAACATAAATATTTGAAAATATTTTAACTTTTAGATAATTACATTTATGTGCTAATAACTGAAAACATGAATCACTCTACTTTATTAATATTAAAGATTGATTTTTATTTATTTATACATACAGTAACTAGGGTAGGCCAAAGGTGCAGGGGTGAGAGGAATTCACCACATGGGTCAGCTCCCTGGGGGTGGGGATCAAACTCAGGCCACTGCAATGATAGTGCTGAGACTTAACCTGTGTCACCAGGGAGGCCCTAGTTTAATTTTCTCTATAGCCAAGGTAAGTAGAATTAGGCCCCTTCACTACTCCACAAAATTTTTTGATGTAATATGTTTGCTACTTTTCTTTCTAAACAAGATGATACATTACAAACCAGTACAGTGCAAACCTTAGGTACATACTGGTCTAAACTGACTGGAGTAATATTCTGCTTGCAGGAACTCTTGGAGATCTTCAACATTGTTCAATGTTGCACTCATACCAATAATTTGAGTTGTTTCTAAAATAAAACCAAAGTATAGAAGAAAGATATTATTTAGTATCTCATAACAGTAATTTTAGCAACCTTTTGGATTCTGATTCTGCTGATTTGGGAAAGGATGGCAGGGACCTGGTAACAAAAATATCAATACAAATCTATTACCAGAGCAATATACTCTTTGAGTGCCAAGTACTAGACACTGCTCAAAACATTCCGTGAATTAATGCATGTAAACCTCACAGCAATCCCATCACATCAATGCCATTATTATTTCTATCTTATCAATAAAGAAGCAAGGAACGTTTGAATCATGTGTCAAAACACACACAAGGATAATGACAGGGGATATTCTTAAATGTTAAGTCATTGATCTTCACAATTATACTCATTCATCCATTCTTCAAATAAAAAGTTATAAACTTCAGAAATGAAAAATAAAAGAAGTAAAAAAGCTAAGGCAAAAAGCATCTGGGTTATGTAATCTAGCTAGCAAAAGAGCTAAGTCTTTTCTATGTCTCCCGATTTAAAATCAATCAGCAACTACACGTGAAAAAATACTTACTGCTAGTATAGAGGATTTTTGCCAGGGTCATTTCGAGTACAGCCCCTCGGCTTCCTTCACCAATCATATGTAACTTTGAGAGTTTAAAAAAAAGTAAAGTAAGTCTGCATGTAATACCCATAGAAAACATACATACATACATTCAACTAGAGAACATAGGCATTATTTCACATTGAAGTTATGTTTGGAATCAACATCATGACACATCTGGAATTTACAAGTACTCTTAAAAAATTTAACACCACACAAATATATTCACATTTATGAAACAATTTGATGCAAAACTGAATTTAAGATTACCAAGGATCAAATGTCTCTGATCTCTACTATCTCTAAATATGTATTTTTATAGAGATACTAAGGTTTACATAATAATAAATGTTAGTATAATAAAAATGTTGATAAATTCAAAAGTAGTAACCTACCTCATCAACAACAACCAGACCCAGACAGTTAATCCTTTCAGTTTCAATCAAGGAGTTTATCAGACTATGTCCTTTTTCAATAGTGGCAATATATAATGACTTCTTTTCCCTTCTTTTAATTGGAGGAAATTTTCCTTTGCTGCCAGCATATTCTTCAACAAAGAAACCCAACTCTACACCAAAACTTGACAAACCTGAAATCTAGAATATTAATTAAAATAAACAACAACAAAAAAACCCAGATAAATAAGAACTCTATTCAATGTACATAGGCATTTAAAAACAATTGTGAATACTTAACATGGCCACACAGATAAAATATATATATTTAAGACATGTTTTAATGTCTTGATCTTTGCAAAATAGAGACAAATTTTGAACTGCACAATGTGAAAATAAATTTCAGTTGTCTTCTAATATACAAAAGTTCAGAAAAATTCATTTATTTTGATATAACTAGTTTCTGCTTGAAAAAGTAGGTTAAATATTAATAGAACATTTAAAAGCATTTAATCCTTTAGAAAAAAGGAAACGCCACAGGTAGTGTTAAAAAAGATTTTTAGAAAGCAAACAATATTGATATTGAACACCTTGAAAATATTAGTTCTTCATCAGTAAGGAGGTATCTTTTTAATCAATAAAAACTTGTTACACTTACACTAGTTTTTACTTCCTAATATCAAATTGGTATTAGCAAATACAATCTGTTAAAAAATAATCGAACCTGGCCCTCCCTGGTGGCGCCGCGGGTTAAAGCACTGCACTAAGAAGCTTAAGCCACTTCCGCATGAGTTCGATCCCCGCCTACCTCCGAGGAGCTCCACATGGCGAGGCAGACCTCTCCTGGCCCGCCCGCTGCTCCCCTCAGCAGTGTACTTCATTGATCTGCCTGTTCTGCTTCCCACTCTGTCTCTGGTGAATCCTCTCACCCTCTGCATCTCTGATCTGTACCCCAGTTCTATATGAATAAATGAATAAATCTTTAAAAAAAAATAATCGAACCTTTTCCTGGACAATTGCCACATATGGTAGGATCATTAACACATCTTTCCGCCGGCAAAGCAGTTCTTGTAGCATTAGTATCTCAGCCACAAGAGTTTTTCCACCACTTGTTGGCAAGGAATATATTAAATTTTTCCTTTCTTTCACTGAATTCAGTGTTAAGCAAGTATGTTGCCATTCTGTGGAATTTTAAGAAAAAGCATTATTTTACCCTTTTGCAAGGTTTTCTAAGATTCCACCCTCTATAGCAATCTTTTTATCATGTTAAATATAAAAAAAATCACACATCAGTGTTAATATAAAGAATTAATCCCAATTCTGTATGCTGCAAATAGTCAGTGAAAGTCTAATGCAGGCCTGGTTAGTGTGTGTAGGCAACTGATCCACCCACTGCTGGAGGTAGGCTTAGATCTAAGATCCCAGCAGGGCTGACAGGGCACATTGGACTAGAGGCATCTGGGACATCAGAGGAGCTAAAGGACAGTTCAAGGTCTGTGTAAATTTAAGGCCTTCCTCTTATGTCTTACAAGGACACCATGTAAGCTTCACTTCAACTTTCACCCTCACACCACCTTAGAGTGAAATAGGGGGGAGGAGGAAAAAGAGCTGAACTGATCAATTGTTTAAACCACAAAGACTAGGATTATTAACTGGCATGTATATATCCATGATCTGTTAAGGCAAAATTTATAAAAAGGGGTCAGATTCAAAATACAGTGTAAAAACTAGTATTAACTACTCATAGGGTAATTTGACAGTGTGGACTATCCAAAACTTTCAAAATGTGCATTTGTATTTTATCACTAGAAGAAAGGGCAAAGGATGTGACATTGCAGGGCAGGGGGAAATGCAAATGGTAAGTAAACACATCAATAGATGTTCAACTGCTACCTACGAGTTTGGTAAAACAAACAACTAAAAAAATAAGACCCCCTCCCCAAAAGACCAAATATCCAAAATCTAGAGTGGGGACAAACAAGAATTCTTTCTTCTGTATGATTTATGGGAACATAAACTGCTATAATCTTCTTAGAAAGCAGTATAGAAATATAAAAATAAAACTGCACATTGTCTTTGGCCTGGCATTGTTATTTTAGTATTATTTTAGGACAAAAGTGAAAAAATACAAAGTGCAGGATGTTCATCATACCCTTGTTTACATGACAGAGCTGTGAGGATGGGGGTGAAGTGAAGGTTGAATGAGTTATGATGTAATCATGATTATTTGCAATACAGAAATGGAAGGTAGATTGATTCTATTAAATGTATAGTTAAGTGAAGAGAGCAGATAATAAATGTGTTTTGCATAGAACTTACCAATTACTGACAGCCAAGGTCCAATGTGGCCTGGTCTTGACACAGACTATAACTTGCAAAGCAGCTATTATCATTACTATTATTACCCCTTTTTAATAGATTAGGAACTAAAATAAGCTTAATTATGTTAGGATAATGGAAAAGGATATATGCAGAAAAGTTGGCCTGGAATATATCCCAATGTTTTCAAAATAAAAGGCCCTAACAAGTTGTATTACTGTAGTATTAAAAAGTTCTATCTGGGGGCCCTCCCTGGTGGCGCAGCGGGTTAAAGCACTGCACTAAGAAGCAAAAGCCACTTCCGCATGAGTTCGATTCCCACCTGCCCTGGAGGTGACCACATGGCGTGGCAGACCTCTCCTGGCCCGCCCACTGCTCCCCTCAGCAGTGTACTTCATAGATCTGCCTGTTCTGCTCCCCACTCTGTCTCTGGTGAAGCCTCTCACCGCCCCTGAGCCTCTGGCCTGTACCCCAGTTCTGTATGTACAAATAAATAAATCTTTAAAAAAAAAAAGTTCTATCTGGGCCTTCCCTTGTGGCACAGCACTAAGAAGCTAAAGCCACTTCCACATGAGTTCCATCCCCGCCTATCCTCGAGGTGATCCATATGGCACAGCAGACCTCTCCTGACTAGCCCACTGCTCCCCTCAGCAGTGTACTTCGAGGATCTGCCTGTTCTTCTCCCCACTACGTCTCTGGTGAATTCTCTCTGCCCCTGCACTTCTGGCCTGTACCCCAGTTCTGTATGCACAAAATAAACCTTTTTTTCAAAAAGAGTTCTCTCTGAATGATAATTACAAGTTACCTTAATTTCTTATGCTTTAGTGATTCCCAAATATTTGCAAATTAGGTATGATTTATAGCTTATGAAAATACATTTTGGCCATATCCACATTTTACCTAACTCAAATTTAAAATATGAAGTGAGCAAAATAACAAATCTTTAGATTATAATTTCTCTTCACACCTTAAAAAATGACATGAACTTATTTTTCAACTTTTATAGATGAATATGGAATTCTGATTATAAGGTGAATATAACTGCATAAGATCAAGGTTCTACAGGTCAGTGGTTCTCAAACTTCTAGCACATCAGAATTCCTGGGAAGTTTGTTAAAGCCAATGCCAGGTCCCACCCCCAGAGGTTCTGTGCCGGTGGGTCTTCAGTGGAGCCTGAGAATGTGCATTTCAACAATTCCCAGGTGACACACTGCATTCCAGAAACTAATTCGAGAACCACTCCTTAGCTCAATGAAAAGTAGCACATATACTTATGCATTAAATTGGTCCTGCTATTAAACCACACATATAAGTAAAGAGATTTAGAAGTTGTTATTTACTGAAGCTCTTACTTAGGAGTTACCAATTACTGAGAGTCAAAGTCCAATGTGGCCTGCCAGTGACATAGAACATAACATGCAAAGCGACTATTATTAGCATCACTATTATTACCCCTTTTTAACAGATCAGGAGCTGAGGTGCAGAGTGCTAAACTTGTACATAAGTGACAGGGCCTGAATTCATACTAGGTTGACAACCCCCAGCAGCTGAGAACCTACCAGAGAGTAAAAGGCATAGTGCTAGTTACATAAGAAAAAGGTGAATTAAACAGAACCCTGTCCTCAGGGTACTCATTCTGCTGGGAGATGTAGATTAAGCAAAGAACAAGGTGCTAGGAGAAAAGCAAAAAGGAGAAAGTTAATATCCACTTCAAAGGCAATACACACCATTAGCTCTTAAACAGGCCTCCCAATTTTGTCTCGGAGAGCCTTCTATTAGACTGTTTCCTGTAGTCCTACCTCTCCAACTTGATTATCTTCCCTCTGAGAGGGGAATCATGTTTTCATGAGACTCTAACTTGAGTTTTAGAATACAACCAGCTGACAGGCTGATGCTGCAGTATGGTGGCAACTGTCCCTTTCTTTGTCAAAATGACCAGCATTTACAAGACATGTAAGGATCCAGTGTTTTTGACAAGTATTATAAGGTACATTAATTGCTATTAATACTATCTCTTTGCCCTTAAATCTTAATTAACTTAGCAGTTTTTAAAGATGCTTAGTTCTAATCAGTGATATTACTAATGATTTCCCTCTCACCAGACATACTCAGAGACATTTTAACAACTAGTTTTCAGAGAGAGAGGGCAGTTAGTCAAGGAACCATCAGCTAAGAAAACTGAGGAAGAGTTAGGCAATCAGAGAGAAACTAAGGAGTACAAGATCATAAGTTAAGAAAGTGTAGGTAAGTACTGAAAAGACAGGTATGGTGACTAAAAATATGTTTGGGTTTAGACACCCTGTTGGCTATATATTTTAAAAGAGAGTATATACAATCCACAGTTGGATGAGCTGGAAATTATTTGAAGTCAGGAAAGAGAGAAGCAAGGATAACTGGCTTGAGAAGTGTAACCATGAGGGGAAGGAAAGAGATAAAACAGTAGCAGGATAGGGCTGGGAGGGTGAAAAAGGACTGATATTTTGTTTTTAAGATGAGTCATCTGACCATGGAAGCATTTGTTTTCAATGGATTTGCACTAAAATTATGGCTAATGATGGCAATTTTTTTTTTTCATGCCAGAAAGCATTACCATATAAATGTTCAATGCCCTTGAACTGAACATAAAGGTCTTTCACTTTGCTGGGTAATGAATAAAAAGGACCAAGGTCATCTGATGATGACTCAATTGTTTTCTTAGCAACAGTAATTTCTTCAGATAGGAGAGTCTCTTTGAGTTGTTTAGTCCTAGAAAATATTGGTGTTTGGGCCTTCTTGGCATTTCTAGCCATGGCACTTTTTAAATGATCTTTAATACTTCTTCTATTCACATCTGAATTAGTTTTGACTTTCGAAGAGGATTCATCAGTTTTCTGGGGTTGCTCTATGATCTCACAAGGCAATTCTTCATTCACAGTCTGGTGAGATAATGACGCCCAACCCCTCTCGTTAGTGGTCTGATCATCCAAATTATTTGAACAATTCTGCAAATTTTCAAAATATAAAACTTGTGAAGAAGGTATATCATACAAAATATCAACTCCAGGTTCAGTAGAGATATCTTCATGCTCACTCAGGTTCTTTGTGCGTGCATCCACTTTTAATTCGGTAAAGTTGCCTACATTAGCATTGCTGAGGTTGTTGTGTTTGATGTTTTCTAAACAAAGTTCTTCAGTGCTAAGGTCTGTAGTATGTTTTCTTTGTTCCTGAAGTTGCATATATTTTTGTTCCAGGGCATCAGTTTCAACTAAAAAAGAGTTGTCACCAAAGCTGTCATAGTCACCAAACATGTCCTCTTCACTGTCATTATGCTAGAAAGAAAAACAAACAAAAAAAAGACTTAAGGCCAGGTGTAGCTTCATTAAGAATAAAAGTTTCAGCTCAGGACTATACCAGGTATATAATTATATGCTCACCATTCATAGACCTAAATATAAGCATCTTTTGAAATAGATGAAATAGATCTTACCCATTTTTACAGATTGAGAGAGGCCCAGAGAGCTTAAGTGACTTGTCTAAACTGCACTCGTAGTATGTAGTGATGCGAGGTTCTAATTCTTTCTTCAGTGCTGATTCCTTTAAATGACAGCAAGACTGATACATCTATTGGAATGTTGACTCACTAGCAGTTTATGATAACTGCAGAAATTCCTCCCTTTCCAGAATCGAATTTACAGAGATTGTCTTGTAACAAAATCATGCTGCACCGTAGGATTTTAGAATTGAGAATTACTGACTTGGGTTAGACCACCGAACAAAAGAAATGCATATTCGAAGATAACGATATAGTGAATTAAGAACATAGGGCTTGGAGTCAGAAGAGCAGTTTCTTAAAATTTTCAAGGTCTGATTTCTGTTGTAAAATCGGATAATGTAAAAAGCTTAACAGAGAAACCCAACACATAACAGACCTGCAATAATTATTACTACCGGAGCAGCAGTCACTTCGAAGTCTAGGTTTGATTCTGAGTTATGACACATATTTGCTGCAAATGTTTTATGTTTCGGGGTAAACGTTTCATAACTGTATAAAAATGGTGTAACAGCTAAAGAGGGTTAGCGGCTATAACAATGTACTGGAAAGCTAGTGGATTAGTAACTGGCGAAATGTCTGTCGCACCCAGTATAGCCAAACTTTAACAGTTTCAATTTCCAAGTCTGGTTTCCCGTTCCTTTATCAGAGGGAATGCACCGTAGAATATGTGGATTCGCTTTATCGACCCAATGGGTTAGGGCTGTAAGTACCTCGGCAGATTGTGCGCCCACAGTTTTCCGCCGCCAGCTTTCAACCATTTTCTCCTCTTCCTCTTCCTTCTCCTCCACTTTCTCTTCATCATCCCTCGTGAGCTCAGCGGCGCCGGGGGCGGCAAAAATGCTCCCTAGGCTAGGACGGTTCCTTTTGCGGACAGACACTCGCCGGCGGATGCTAGAACCACCTTCATCCATGGCAGGGGCCAAGGGCCCTGCCCAAAAGGCACCCCACGTGATCCAGCCGCCACCCCCCAGTGTGGGAGGTGAGCGGAACACAGGGTGTTGACAGCAACAGTGGAAAACTTCATTCGCCTCGATCCACCTTTGGGAAAGACCGCTGCTTAAAAGTCAGGGGTCCCCGACAGAAGCAGAGGCGCGAGTCTAAGAGCCGCCTTCTCTTCCAATCGTACACGTCGGGATAGCAAAGCGAGTCCCGTGAGAACTGAAAGGTGGTGCGCAGGCGCACGGAAATCCTCACCCTCCTCTTTTTTTTCTGGCACCCAGGGTTTGCCTCCGGAACCTTTGAATAGAGTTCTCGGGTCAGCCAGGGAAGAGTACCGGAAGGGACTTGTCAGGACGGTTAGGAAAGAGGACAGGAAGAGGGGGGACGAGAAACATGGCCTCTGTGGCTGCAGCTTGCAGCGTTCTAGTAAGGAAAAAATTGACACACGTCTTAAAGACTGCTGTTCGTTTCACACATCCGGGGACTCACACGGGTAAAATTTCCCTATCCTTGCTGTGTTGTGGCGTTGCAGCCTTTGACGTACTCTCACTTAGATTAGTAGAATTGGAGCCCAGGGGTTCGGGGGGGGGGTAGGAAAGAAATCTTGGAGTCAGATGAGTTAGAAATGAAGCTTTATTGTTACCTGGTAGTACGCACTTAAAAGAGAGTGCGCGCAAAGTCAAGGACGAATGGTCCTTTGGATCTTAAGGCTGCTGGTACAGATTTTAAGGGACAGGGGCTCACTGATGGAATTCGAGCGGGATCAGGCCAGTTTTAACAAGAGCACTGGGCCTTAATATCCTGTTGGTGATGTAAGATAGAAGTTTTATAACTAGGTGTGCCCAGTGAGGTAAGGTTCTAAACTCATAGGGTTTAGGTCACCTTGCTTTGGAATTTGCATAGCAAATTTTTTTTTCGGAGTTATTGGATGGGAAAGGAGAGGGACCCACTAAATTCCTGTTCTACCGCAGAATCACACACCGGCTTCTAGGTGCCGGTTTCTCTAGGACAACTGGGAATCTGTAATCACCCAAGACTAGAATTTTTTTTAAAAGATTTATTTATTTATTCATACAGAACTGGGGTACAGGCCAGAGATGCGGAGGGTGGGAGGAGCCACCAGAGACAGAGTGGGGAGCAGAACAGGCAGACTGACAAAGTACACTGCTGAGGGTAACAGTGGGCGGGTCAGGAGAGGTCTGCCACGCCTCATGTGGTCACCTTCGGGGCAGGCGGGGATTGAACTCATGAGGAAGTGGCTTGAGCTTCTTAGTGCAGTGCTTTAACCCGCTGCGCCACCAGAGAGAGCCCAAGACTAGAATTTTAACCTGAAGGGGAGGTGGGATGTCTTCTGTTTCTTTCCCTCTCTTTCTCCCCTCCCCCCAACCCCAATAGTAATGGGGTGAATACCAAACAAAACAACAAAAAAGAGGGACTTGACTAAGATCCCCAGGTGAACTTGGTAAATAAGGGGCATTTTCAGATTCATCCAACAACAGCAGATTCCATGGACATCCCAGATCAGAGAGAAATTGTGACATAGACCCTTGAATCAATCATTTCTGTATTTTAATCTCCATGTTTCCTTATCAATAACTACTCTTTGTAGTAGGCTGTTAGTCTTTCTTCCTGTGGTAGGACAGTACCTTTCTCTTGCTTCTCCCTAAGTATTTGCATTTAAATGTGCCTATTGTGGGGGAAAATAAATTTCAGGAAGAGAGCAGGTGGAGGTTGTATGGATGGGGAATAATTGTCCTCTCCCCAGTTTCTGGAAACCATGCCGATCTTCAGACCAACTCTGGCTCACACCTAAGGTTTTTATCCTGTCAGTGTGAGTGTAATGGATGTAAATTTTTTCTTTTATGTTGTATCTGTTCATTTTATCTTCACAAAAAACAATCTCTCTACTTGGCTCAACTAACAACAAAAAACTGGTTTGATGCCTTTCTGTTTTACTTCAGTGTTGTGGAGAAGTTATTCACAGTATCAACAGATAACAAGCAATGAGGACATGGTAAGTTTTTTTTCTTCCTTTTTATAAGTTATTTGTAAATATAACTAAGTTGTTGTATTTAGTTAGCTAAATGGAGTTCAGGTGGCAGCCAGAAAAAATAATAATCATTACTTCAGTGAATAATCACAAAGATTTTGAAGTGTGAGAATTCCTAGATTCCTAATAAGAAGCATGATTTCTGTAATACTTTACAATATATGCTTTGGGAATTAAAAAAAGGTAGTCTTGGTATATGGAATAATCACAGATAAAACAAAACAAAGGTACTATACAAAGTTTACTTACTGGTTGCCTCTCTTCCCACTTCAAATTCAGTTCTTTCCCCCATTCGTTCACTTGACGGGAGGGGAAAGCTCTCCTAACAAATGATCAACTCTGTAATAGGCCACTTAGTGGTTTTTTTTTTTTTCCAACTTTAGATATATTTTTATAGGGTTGAAAGTACTAGTATTGAACAGTGTAGATGTTCTTACTATAGGCATAGTTTTGCAATATCAGAACATGTAAAGCACTTAGTACAGTATAGAAAAGTAATATACTCATGACATGTGAGCTGCTTATAAACTGACAGAAAAGTTTAAGGAGTTAAATAAAATAAAAACTCCTCTAGTCCTCTGAGCATTCATCTTGATGATCTGATTCAACCCATAGTTCAAGAGAATAAAGAAAACTCCCAGAACAAGGCACAGTTTCATTCATTTGAAAATTTTCATACAATACAGGAGTTCAAGGACTTCAAAGCCATTTCAAGAGTTTCAGAACCTGTATACTAGAGACTCATTGAGTGTAGGCAGGACATTGTGACAGATGCATGAGATGGTATAGTGAAAACAGAAAAAACAAACAGAAGCATTGTCTTTTGATAAACACCTGATAGATTTAGGAACTATACTAAAACTAACTGAATATGCTATCTGTTTTTATCCTGGCTTAAATCTAAATTAAGAATTTTTAATCTCTATACTGTGGGCAGAACACTTTAGGAGAGTTACTTCAGTGAAGTAAAATTTCAAATACATGTTTGAACTTTTTCTTGCAAAGATTATATTTTACCCCAGAATCTTCCCTAACTTAATTTCTCCTTAGACAAAGTACAAGCACAACAAAATATTTAAAATGGCTAATCTGTTTCAGAAATACTTGATTTTTCCTTTACAAAGCGTTATTGTATTTATCAGTTAAGAAAGATATAAGTAATCCTTGGGGGATATTTAAATGTAGTAGCCTTAGATCTTTTTTAAATTCAAAATTAACATACTAACCATCATATTTCCCCGCCCCCCCTTTACCTAGCCCATTCCAATGGAAAACCCTTATAAGGAGCCTCTTAAAAAATGTATCTTGTGTGGAAAACGTGTAGATTATAAGAATGTACAGGTGAGAAATGATTTTACTTCATGATACTTGAGTTTTAGTATTTTGTGACATTATCAGTCCTTTCTAAAGAGGACCAAGTCAATTTTATAACAGGTTTTGGGTAGAAGTCATTGTTTTAGCAACTTCATAATTTCAAATCACTTTCACATCTATATATAAGCAACTTTTGTTCAAATAAACACCCTTTGGCTCAGCCTCAATTGTCATTTTAGCTCAAGTGTTTCTTCCTCTTTTTCCATGCCTCAAGCATCTAAACAATAGCTCACTATTAGCAGTGATTTTTAATTGTTGGAAAAAGCTCCTGTGGTGAAGTTGATCTGTTTTTCACCATCACTATCAAAAGTGGCAAAATTGGGTAGAATATGTTGCTGCAGGTCGTCCCTGGTGGTGCAGCAAGTTAAGCAAACACTATAAAGCTCTCTGAAGCCACTGCGGCATGAGTTCAGTCTCTGCCAGGGAGGTGACCCACATAGTGTGACAGACCTCTCTTTTCTCACCTGCTGCTCCCCTCCGCAGTGTGTTTTGCTGGATCTTCCTGTTCTGTTCCCCACTCTATCTCTGATGAATCCTCTCATCTACACTCCCCCAGCACCTCTGACCTGTACCCCAGTTCTTATATGCATAATCTTAAAAAAAAAAAAAAAAGAGGGTGCTGCAGTTTAAATGCACTTCTATTAGTTAAAGTGACAGCTACCCTAGAGAAAAACCAAGAAAATTTTAAATGCAGTATTCTAAGAAAATTACACATAGTGCTAAGAACAGGGCCTGGCACCTGTAAAGTGCTAAAGAATACTTTGTTAGTAAAACAAGATAAAGTAGATGGCCAGCCTACCTGAACATATTTTGTCTGGTATGATGTGATACAAGGTTGCTATGTGATACAAGGTTATATAGGTGAATTATTACCTTGTTACAAGTGTTACTTTAGACAAGTACCTGTGGAAAAGTTAAAAGCTTTAGCACTGAGAGAATATACTCATTAAATTCTTGTGTACTTTTGATACAATGGACATAAAAGCTGTTAGTTTTAGTGATTTTATTTGAAAAGATAACCCATTAGGATGAACATAATTCAGAATATTCATTTTTTTAAGTTTATCTTATTTATTAATATACATACATATACTTGGAAGCTGACTTGAAATTTTCTTCAATTTATATAGTCAAGATTGAATAACAAATGTATTAACTTTTTTTCTTTTCCAAATAAAACTCAAAACAGCTTTTGTCCCAGTTTATTTCTCCATTTACTGGATGCATTTATGGAAGGCACATAACAGGTATTTTTGTTTTCTGTTGTAGCAACTTACATGTGATTAAGAATTATATAAATCTGTAAATCTGTTATTTATAAATAACTTATTTAATAAAACTCAAAGATTTTCAAATCATGCTGTAAATCGCCATCAAACTAGATATTACAGATACTTTAAGAAAGCCAAAGGGTTATTATTTTGTGTATCTTTTTATGCACATGGTTAACCATTTGTTGACATGTTGAAATTTTGGGGTTAAAAAATTGTCTTGTTATTTTGGGGTATACTATAATCATGCCTAGACTAGTAATATTTTAAAACAAAAGCCTGTTACTCTTATTTCTACAGTGGCTGCTTTGTGAGCTACAATAACAGATATTAATGGATAGGAAATGGAATTGTATAGCCTGCAAAGCCTAAGATTCTTACTATCTGGCCCTTTACAGGTTTTCCATCCTTTCCTTGATATTTAATATATTTAAATATTTGTATATTGTATTGGAATATTTTATGAATAGAAAAGCATTTTCTTTTATAGGTCTTTGTGGGAAGAAACAAAAGGAAATCACAAAGGCAATTAAGAGAGCTCAAATAATGGGTAAGTGCATCTTAAATACTGAATTGAGCTATCAAAATATTGCTTATCTTTTGTGAAGAACTTTCATTATCTCTTTACAGGATTTATGCCAGTTACATACAAGGATCCTGCATATCTCAAAGACCCTAAAGTTTGTAATATCAAATATAGGGAGTAACTTATGTTATAACCAATAAACTTATTTTACATGAATGGTTGTGTGAGGCTAATAATGACTCAAGAGTAAGATTTTATAAACTTTGGGTAGAAAGTATGTTATATCTTATCAAACTTTTTAATTTAATTTGAAATCTTAGGAAAAAATATTTCAGGAGTGAAGCAACCTCTTCACACCAGTGAATGTTAAGAAAATATTTACTTTTTACATGCATGAATTAAAAAAAATGGTGCTGTAGGCTTGTTATTTTTGTCTGGTCCCCAGATGGCTCATACAATAGTAGACCACTAGTATTTCATTACAGGGAAATGATGTTTATATTGTAATTTTACTTTAGGGTCAGATTCTATCTTCTGAGATTTTAGGGATATGGGTTTAGACAAAGTAAAATGCTTGTATAATATACAAATCACACGTGATAAGATGTGGAATTGAAATTACTCAGGAAGATTTTCTAACTATCGTGTGCCTGGCTAGGACAGTGGTTCTTTGTGGAGATTATACATGAGTCATGAGATGAATAGTGGTGCTATCACAGAACCTGGTACTTATTCCATGACCATTCTATTCCAAATTTGGCAGTGTCCTTTAAATACACCACAACATAAAAATAGGCAATATATTACATCATTTTATCTTACTCCAGTAATACAAATTCTAAAAGATAAGCGTAGTTGGGGGGAAAAATGTCTTATGATGGGTCCTTTTCGGAAAAATGTCCTATGATGGGTCCTTTTCTACATTTTCATTGGATACCTTGAAAGCTGGATCATCATACTTGAGTTATGGAAATACGGCTGTGTACTGACTGCAGCAAGCTTCTCACTGAATTTATTAGCAGTGCTGTTTTCAAAGGAGACTGCAGTCATGCAAAACTGAGCTAAATACTTTTATATTTAGCAAATTGAGCTTGTATGAAGATCCTTGCAGACTTCCATTTCAGTAAGTAAGGAGTCTTTGAAAAATATCTCAATCTTGTTTTTAGAAGATATTTGCATATGCTGGCTTGCTGCTTCTAAGTCTTGCTTGTCACTATGTATAACCAGTGTTGTTTATTTTTTGGTTGAATTTAATCATTGTGTTCAGTGTGGTAAGTTCTATTATATTCTGGTGATGTCTGCAGTTATTTTTAAATTGGGGTTTAGACTGACAACATATTTCCTCTCCTTCTGCTGTGACCTACACCATATGTAATCAGTAAGTCAATCCAGGCAGAAACTCGTGCTGGCACAAATCATCTCTAGCACTATGTGGGCTTCCAAAGCACTCCATGGTAATAATGCATGTTAACAAAGATAAAAGATGACAGCTTTTGATAGTAGCTATGAACCTAATCTATTATTTAGTAACAGATGGAACAATGGTCAGAATGTGTTTGCAGTCTCATCCACTAAATGAAATATAAAGGCTTCATATGACATACATGCTTTGTGGAAAATTCTCACAATTGTGGAAAAGACAAACACTAGACAACAAAAGTTCCCTTAGCTCCACTTAACTCACTCACTGGATTAAACTGGGGCCTGACATCCTTCCTAAATATATTGAACATCATGAATTGTGCATTGCCAAGAGTCGGGTATTTTGTTCCTATGGCTGTGTTGGTTCTATTATATTGATAAAATATGAATGTTAAGTTGTTTTTGCAGTAAATATTCAATGCCTCAGAAAAACATGATAAAAGTAACTGGCTTTTAAAAAAATACTTGTCAAATTAGATGTAATGGAACAACTTAGTAACACTGGGGGTGGGAGAGTCCTGAGAAATGAAAAAACCTAATAGCATTTTGTACTGAGGTTGCTTTACAATTTAAATTTTTCACTTTAAAGAAACTGGGAATTGAAAAGATTATTTATAACTGATTTATACAGTCACTGAACTTACACTGCGGTAAAGTTCCTGGCCCTACAACAGAAAGTTGATGAATGTATACCTATGCACTGCTTTATATTAAAAGGCAATCTCTGACAGACATTCATATGTAAATAATAAATATTTTCTGAGTCCCACATTTCCAGCTTAACTGACCCAATACACTGCATTACCAGGCTTGTTCTGTCTTCAAATTTTGGATTCACTCAGTTTTGTGTAGAGGGCTCTAGACTAGGCAGAGATTACTGTTTATGATGCGCTATGGTTTTATGCCTTATGAGAATGGCTAGATTCATCACTAAGGAGTAGGAATTTTCAGATAAAAAATTTCATGATTTAGATTCTCTTTCTACTGTGAAAATAAGGCTAGTCTCTTTTCCAATTCTAATAAAGGCTGTGTGCAAATTTAAAGTAAGAGGCTCAAGCTTTTAAATGGGAAAAAAAATTTTGGTTTTAAAATAAAAGCATGATACTTCTAAAAGTACTATATGAAATAAATGTACTCTAGTACATTTATTGAAGTAAATATAGGATTTTAATCTGGATTAAACTGGGGATTTACATATCTGTGCATGACTTCAAATAGTTGAACAGTAAAAACAATAGCAGTGTTTAGCTTTACCCTTCAGCTAGTCAAAAATCATTTGGTCTCAAAGAATTAAAAAGTAGGAGATTGTGGATAGTCTCCAGAACCCTTCATTTTCTCAATCTCTTCATCTACTTCTGGGCTGCTTGTGGTGGATGCTTTTTCTTGGTTACTACTATCAGTATCTGTTTTTACTAGTTTGTTTTGTGTCTCTGACAGCCGTGACCTCTTGAATTGCCAGTCATCCTCTGTATCTAAAGCTTTCCGCTTAGTCACCTGCTGTGCACCACTAGGGGGACTAGCGTCCGGAATGTCAGTGTATTCTACCATTAAGGTCAGGTTGTCTGCCACACTGAGATGGTGGTTGGTTTTACAGGTACTTTTAGAAATATGTCTGTTTTTCAAGGAAATAACACATGAATGAAGAAAGTCAGAGTCCGGGAAAAAATTCTGTAAAGCTTGACAAAGAAAAACGTTCTCCTGAGGCTCCTTTTGCATATTCGTATCTCCTAAACAACAAAACAAAACAAATGTTAACCTAAAGTATTTGTTCTAGGAAGTTTTCATCAAATTATCTGTTCATTAAACCAATGATTTTAAACAATTTACCAAACTAAAGTGAGAAAAATGATGTGTAACAATAATCTTAAGAAAAACTAAATTTAAATTATATTCTTTAATAGCAACAATAATAGTATAGTTACAATTATACCATGTTCTTTTTTCAGTGGGATTTTAAGACTATTAATACTTTTAATCCTAAGGTGGCTAAATTAATTAATTATGCTCACAAAATTCAAATTCAGTGAGACTTTGTAAGCACAGAAAGTAGCGATGTATGAACTTTTTACTTACGTGCTGCTTGAGCCTGCGCTCGTTTTCTTTTTTTGATTTCTCGTTTTAATCTACTTACATCCTTTAGTAGTTTTTCTACTGCTTGCTCACTGTGTTCTACTTTTTTGCATATACTCTGCAAAACAGTTTAAGGCATAGATAAAGTACCAAGTTGTATAACTAGAGTCTAGGTTCATAAATAATACTAAATCCTTTGTGGCATGTAATATCAAATATTATTTTCCTTCTAATTTATTTTCTGAAGGAACTCAGTAACAAGTACTTTTGCTTTCTATATCATAAAATGCTTTCAGATATATTAACTTCACTTTAGCTTTTCATATGAGTTATTTCCTTGATTAAAAAAAAACATTGGCCCTCCCTGGTGGCGCAGCGGGTTAAAGCACTGCACTGAGAAACTAAAGCCACTTCCCATGAGTTCGATCCCCGCCTGCCACAGAGGTGACCACATGGCATGGCAGACCTCTCCTGACCTGCCCACTGCTCCCCTCAGCAGTGTACTTCGTCGATCTGCCTGTTCTGCTTCCC